ATTTTTTGGAGACATGATCTCAATTTGTTGCCCAGGCTGGAGTGCAGTGGTGTGATTTCAGCTCACTGCAGCCTCCACCTTCTGGGCTCAAGTGTTCCTCTTGCCTCAGCCTCCCAAGTAGCTGGGATTACAGGTGCATGCCACCACATCTGGCTAATTTTTGTATTTTTTGTAGAGAGCAGGACTCACTTTATTGCCAAGGCTGGTCTTTAACTCCTGGGCTCAAGTGATCTGCTCTCCTCCACCTCCCAAAGTACTGGGATTAAAGGCATGAGCCACTGCATCCAGCCTATTTTGTCCAATTTTAATATAGTTACACAAGCTTTCTTTTGGTTTGTTTTTGCTAATTACATTTTTTCCATCTTTTTATTTTCGATCTTTCTGTAGTATGATCATTTCTGTTATGTCTACTACAAACAATATGTAGTTAGTTTTTTAAAATACAATCTCTCAATCCATGCCTTAACTATCAAGTTTAATTCAAATTTTACATATTGTGATCACATATAAATGGAATTATTTCTACTATTTTGTGTTAATCTTTTTCTTTCTTTCCCTCTCTTTCTTTCCGTTTCTTTCTTTTTCTTCTTTCCTTCTTTCTTTTCTTTTTTGCTTCATTTTTCCTCTTTCCCTACTTTTCCTTTTTCTTTTTTTTTTCTTGAGTTGGGGTATCTGTCTGTCACCCAGGCTAGACTGAAGTAATACAATCATGGCTCACTGCAGTCTCAAACTCCTGGGTTCATGCAATCCTCCCACCTTAGCCTGCTGTGTAGCTGCGACTACAGGCACACACTACTATGCCCAGCCCTGACTTTTTAAACTCCATTTTTTTTGCCTACTACTTGGAAGTTGCATGCTTTATTTATCTTATTTTAATGGCTGCTGTTAAATTTCAATGTGCTTAATAAACTTAATATCTCCAATCTCCTCTTGCAAGGACTTACTTATTTCTTTAGAGATGAAGTCTTGCCATGTTGTCTAGGCTGGAGTGCAGTGGCTATTCACAGGTGCAATTATAGCACACTACAGTCTTGAGCTCCTGACCTCAAGGGATCCTCTTGCCCCAGCCTCCACAGTAGCTGTGACTACAAGTGCTTACCATAGCACCTGGCCCAATATGAAACATTGTAACTGTAGTCACCACTCTATCATTTTACATAGTTCACTTTTCAATATTTTATTTCAGTCCTATTGCCAAAATTAGACACTTCTTTTTTTTTTTTTTTTAAGGCTGGTCAAGTGAAGCAGTGGGCGTGGAGAAGGAACAAAGAAATCTGTAACTGGTTGTGATCAATTAGTTGTAAACACTACTGCACTTGGACCAGCCAAAGTTAGACATTTATATTTCTATTTGTTGTTTAATAAAGACAATGGTTGTCATGATGCGTCCACGTTTACCATTTCTTTGCTCAAAATGCCTTCTTGCAGCTTAGATTTTTCTTTGATTTCTTTCCTTATCCTGAAGTATTAATACATCTTTTAAATTTTAGGTTCTACAAGTGAGAGCCCATTGTTGGTAAACTCAGGTTTTTGATGATCTGTGATATAGTTTGGCTCTGTATCTGCACCCAAATCTCATGTTGAATTGTAATCCCCAATGCTCGGGGAGGGAAAGTGTGTAGCACTTCTCCCTTCTCTCTCTCTCTCTCTCTCTCTCTCTCTCTCTCTCTCTCTCTCTCTCTCTGTCTCTCCTCTCTCTCTCTCTCTCTCTCTCTCTCTCTCTCTCTCTCTCAGGGAAAGTGTGTAGCACTTCTCCCTTCTCTCTCTCTCTCTCTCTCTCTCTGTCTCTCCTCTCTCTCTCAGGGAAAGTGTGTAGCACTTACTTCTCCCTTCTCTCTCTCTCTCTCTCTCTCTCTCTCTCTCTCTCTCTCTCTCTCTCTCTCTCTCTCGGTGCTATGTGAAGACATGCTTGCTTTCCCCTTACTCTTTTGCAATAATTATAAGCCTCCCTGGCCATGCCTCCTTTACAGCCTGTGGAACTGTGAGTCAATTAAACCTCTTTTCTTTATAAATTACCCAGTGTCAGGTAGTTTTTTATAGCAGTGTGAGAATGGACTAACACAATCTGATAGTGTCTTTATTCAAAAATTATGGCAAAATAAAAGTTCAGCTAATTGGAGAATTCTAGGCTGACAGTTAATTTCTCTCAGCCCCCCTGCCTTTTCTTTTTAGATGGAGTTTTGCTTTTGTTGCCCAGGATAGAGTGCACTGCAATCTCCGCCTTCCAGGTTCAAATGGTTCTCCTGCCTCAGCCTCCCGAGTAGCTGGGATTTATAGGCATGCACCACCATGCCTGGCTAATTTTTTGTATTTTTAGTAGAGACGGGGTTTCTCAATGTTGGTCAGGCTGGTCTCCAACTCCCGACGTAAGGTGATCCGCCCACCTTGACCTCCCAAAGTGCTGGGATTAGAGGTGTGAGTTACTGCACCCAGCCTTCTCTCAGCCCTTTGAAAATACTATACTGAAATCTTCAGACTTTCATTGTTGCTACTGAAAAGTATATTCATTTTTTTATGGCTGCCATGACTTTATTGAATTAAAATACAAATAAATACCATGACTTTATTGAATTAAAAGAGCACAAATTTATTGTTTCAAAGCTCGGTAGGTCAAAAGTCAGGAATCTCACTGGGCTAAAATCAAGGTGTTGGTCAGCAGGCTTTTATTCCTTTCTGAAGCCTCTTGAGTTTGTTTCCTTGCTCATACAAGTATTGGAATAATTCAGTTCCAACCAGTTAAGGGACTGAGGTCTGTTTCCTCACTGGATGTCAACTGGCGGCTACCTTTTACTCATATAAGCTCCTCTCTGATCCTTTCACACAGCCTCCTACATCTCAGGATCAAATTCTTCCCATACTGCCATATCTTTGACCCAGCTAGTAAGCATTCTCTACTTTTTTTTTTCAGTTTATTATACTTTAAGTTCTGGGGTACATGTGCAGAAGGTGCAGGTTTGTTACATAGGTATACATGTGCTATGGTGGTTTGCTGCATCCATCACTCCGTCATCTACACTAGGTATTTCTCCTAAAGCTATCCTTCCCAATCCTCCCACCCCCTGCTATCCCTCCCCTAGCCCCCCCATCCCCCAACAGGCCTCGGTGTGTGATGTTCCCCTCCCTGTGTCCATGTGTTCTCATTGTTCCACATCACTTATGAGTGAAAACATGCGGTGTTTGGTTTTCTGTTCTTGTGTCAATTTGCTGGCATTCTCTACTTTTAAAGACTTTAGTGATTAGATTGGACCCACCTTTAGTGATTAGATTAGATAATCTTCCCATCAGAAGGGTAACCTTAATTACTTCTGCAGAGTCCTTTTTGCCATGTGAGGTAACATATTAATAAATTCAGGGTATTAAGGTGTAAACGTTTTTGCAGAGTGTGGGGAGGATATTATTCTGCCAACCAAAGAAATGGGCTATCAGTCTAACTGCCTTTCCTTTGTAGATGATTTGGCTGTTCTCTCTAGCTGCTTTTAAGATCTGGCTGTTACTTTAGTATTTCTTCTTATTTATCCTTGTGAACATTGGCTCTCCTCCATTCTCTTTTAAAATTCTTATTAAGCATAAACTAGATCTTCCTTCACTCTTTCTTTCTCTCCTCCTCTTCTTAACTGGGTCTTGCTCTGTCACCCAGGCTGGAGTGCAGTTGCTCCATTATGGCTCACTGCAGCCTCAAATGCCTGGGGTCAAGCAATCCTTCAGGTAATTGTGTGTGTGCATGCGTGTGTGTGTGTGTCTGTGTAGATGAGGGTCTCACTGTGTTGCCCAGGCTGGTCTTAAACTCCTGACCTCAAGTGATCCTCTCACCTTGGCCTCCCAAAGTGTTGGGATTATAGGAGTGAGCCACTTTGCTGGGCCAGCTAGATCTTTCAAATCTGTCCTCTCACTCTCAGCTCAGCTCTGTACCACAGGCCTCAAGCAAGTGTGTGGGGACACTTTAGCACCCATGTCCAAGCCTCATACCTACAAATGATTATCCACTGGCTATTCTTGATGCACACTCTGGCACAATCTGCCCTCAGGAGGAGGGATCCAAGAGAGATCCGATCAGGCCCTGAAAGTAGACTCAGAGCTGTTCAAGCAGGAAATTTGAGGGCTCCACACTTCTAGTGGGTGATTAAGGAATAAGGAGTGCTGGCTCCAGATGAATCCAATCTCTTGGCCTTGTGGACTCCTCACCTTGTGAGCCATGGGCACAACTGAAGGAGTGCTAGAATAAGACCCTCCTAAGTAAGGAGCCTAAGGCAGGAGCCTCTCAATCCAGGGGTCCAAGGCAGATCCCCTCTTGCTCAGATCCAAGGGCAGCATCACATGAGATGACAAACATACTTCTTTCAAGAGGAAGAATGCTGGTAAGGTAAAGCTATCCCTCCCCAATCATAGAAGTGTTCTATGCAAGAGGTTGAGGATGTGAGGTCAGGAAAGTTTGGAAGTACAGAAAAATATGAATTTGAAAGTAGGCAAGAGATGTATGGTGAGATTAGCTGGCCTCTACATTGCAAGTAGAACATTGTAGTCAACTTTGGGCATAGTTATAGTGGATTCAGCCCTTAAAAGGGCTATTCTCTCCTCCTAAACAACTCTTCTGACTGCTCCTGATTTTCTACATCCCTTATAGTCTCAGCTTGAATTTTACTTGCTTTAGGAGACCTTGCCTCAAGCCCCTGATTAATCTATCCTTCTCCCTCTTAAATTTTTCCATAGAGTCTGTAGTAATGTTTTTGTTATATCTAATCACACTTGTTAAATTGTCCATGGTTGCCTTTTTGATTATTCAGGCTAAAAGGTTTGTGAAGACATTTTTCTTACCCAGCATCATATCCCTGGACTCACAAAGTGTACATCTGGTGGTCAATATACATTTGGTGAGCTGATAATATGTCCTCATAGTGTTTGAGTGGCATTGCTTGATATAGCTGAATCCAAACAGAATATCAGCTATTTGATGTCCTTCCACTTCAAATTGTTTCATTTTATACATATTTTTTCAGAGCCAGTTAATCAGATATAGGTGATTTATTTTCATATCTAAAACACTTTATAATATTCTCTGGAAAATCTAAAATAATTCTGTTATCCTAATGTTTTATACTATCATCATTTTAGAAAATAAAAGACTTGGATTATATACTAGAAAAAGTTCTTCATTATATGCAAAATATTTATCTCCACTAGTAAAGGAGATTAAAGAACATCTGTAAGAGGAAAGAAGGTCCTCAAAGTGTTTCATTTGGTATCTACTTACCCCAATCCCAAGATATAAAGACAGATAAAGGCACTAAGATGCTAGTATGTGGCTAGTCCTTTCAATATTCCAGTCAGTCCATACAGATAACCCATGGACTATATTCAAGCCTCTCTGTAAGCCATCGATGGTCATTATTTGGTTAGTTCACCTAAGGTAAGGCCATATCAGCTGTTAAAATGATGTGGAGATTAATCGACAGGGCTGCCACTTGTTAATCCCTTCCAAGGATACTGTGCAAAGGATCTCATTGGTCCTGAGGAGTAATCTTGTGACTGTACATAACCCTTGGTGCATGTCCACAAATACTGGGGTATAGCCTGCATGCTACTAAAAATAACAAAGGTTTCAGGGCTGGAGACACTGTCAACCACACTGTCATGACCATCTACAGCTCCAGGACTCAGTGGTGGGGGACCAATATTTAACTGATGTCCCTGGCAGAAGGAGCCTGTAAGTACTTCAGCCTCGAATACACAGATCAGCTTATCTGCAGTAGAGGTTTTCTTGGCCTTCTCTGCCAGGCTTTTGAGGTTCTTGGTGAAGTATATGCCAACTCCATATTTTGGATCTGATGAAAGAAAAAAATTAAAAGATTATTATGATCTGGTGAGTGATATTGCCAATTTGGATACTAATATCTATTCTCTCTTTAGTCTTCCAAATAATCACTTTCCACTGGTTCTGACTCCCTGTTTCTATAGCAAAGGCAATCAAAATTGTTCCTTGAAACAAATTATCACTGACACCATCAACATAATATTAACTTACATTCAAATATACCATTAGGGCTGGCTGCGATAGCTTATGCCTGTAATCCCTGCACTTTGGGATGCCGCGGTAGGTGGATCACCTGAGGTCAGGAACCCGGCCAACATGATGAAACCTCATCTCTGCTAAAAATACAAAAAATTAGCCAGGCGTGGTAGTGGGCACCTGTAATCCCAGCTACTCAAGAGGCTGAGGCAGGATAATCGCTTGCACTCAGGAAATGAAGGTTGCAGTGAGCCGATCATGCCACTGCACTCCAGATGGAGCAAAACTCCATCCCGAAAAAAAAAATACAGTTAGTGTTCATAGAGAAGTCAATGATTTTCCAAGTATTGCACATTGATTAGATTAAATTATCTGTGACACGGATAGTAACTCCACTTAAAAGACAAAAGATCTGAGATTCAAAGAACTTAGATTCAAGTTAATATTATGGACTAAGTAAGTGACAGAGGATAATAGAAGGAAGGTTCTGCTTCCCTTAGAACATCATGTGACTTCTATACACTACACATAGGGATATTTCTGGAACTCTCAAGAAGATGGTTTAAAAATAGCAGCTAATAAGAGAGTGCCTCCTAACCTCATGAACAGCATTACAAGAAAAATATGTAATCCAGTCTTGGTGGCACATGCCTGTAATCCCAGCACTTTGGGAGGCCGAGGTGGGTGGATTGCTTGAGCCCAGCCTAGGCAACATGGCAAAACCCCATCTCTGCAAAAAATACAAAAATTAATCCTAGCTACTCAGGAGGCTGAGATGGGAAGATCAATTGAACTTAGGAGGTTGAGGCTGTAGTGATCTGTGATTGGGCCATGGCACTCCAGCCTGGGTGACAAAGCAAGACCCTGTCTCAAAAAAAAAAGAAAAAGAAAAAAATATGTCAAGGGGAATGTGGAGTATATAAAATGTCAGTGCGCATACTTCATTGTTTAGGAAAAGCACTCCTGAATTTGGAAGGACAGAGGCATTCTAGTCAGCAGGAGGGTATTGTGTACTCTGCATGGATTGGCACAATACCTCATGAAGAATCTCCATGTGCATTTTATCTAGGTCCGTGCTTACCAGAATATTTTCCACCCATCAGGCATCTGGAGACTATGATACTAAGGAGGATGTGCCCTATTCCCACCACTAGAAATGAGCACACGTGCTGACACATTGCCTGTGATCTGTATTATCTTCTTTGGAGTATTAAAAACACTCAGGAGGTTGAGGGCCAAATTCTGGACCTCAAAGTAATCCCTGTTCAATGCCCTTTCTGACCTCACTTAGAGGAAAAAAAATTATATCTTCTTTGATGCCATATTATCTTTCCTTACTTTCCTTTTTTCTTTTCATTTCCTCCCTCTCTTTCTTCTTCTTTTTTTTTTTGAGACAGAGTCTCGCTCTGTTGCCCAGGCTGGAGTGCAGTAGCATGATCTTGGCTCACTGCAGCCTCCGCCTCCTGGTTCTAGTGAATCTCCTGCCTCAGCCTCCTGAGTAGCTGGGACTACAGCGACACGCCACCAGGCCTGGCCAATTTTTGTATTTTCAGTAGAGATGGCGTTTCACCCTGTTGGCCAGGCTGGTCTTGAACTCCTGACCTCAGGTGATCCACCCACCTCAGCCTCCCAAAGTGCTGGGATTACAGGTGTGAGGCACCGCATCCAGCCTCTCCCTCTCTTTCTTTATGTGGGTCTTAACCAAACACTTTTAGGCTCTAGAGCAGCACTGAACAATAAAAACATATTACAAGTCGCACATGTCATTTAAAATTTCCAGGCTGAGTGGTTCATGTCTGTAATCCCAGTGCTTTGAGAGACCAAGGCAGGAGGGTCGGTGGAGGCCAGGAGTTTGAGACCAACCTGGGCAACACAGTGAGACCCAATCTCTACCAGAAATAAAAAAATTAGTCAGGTGCTGTGGCACTCACCTAGAGTCCCAGCTACTCTAGTAGCCACATATTTATTTATTTATTTTTTGAGACAGAGTTTCGCTCTTGTTGCCCAGGCTGGAGTGCAATGGCATGATCTCGGTTCACTGCAACCTCTACTTCCCGGATTCAAGCAATTCTCCTGCCTCAGCCTCCTGAGTAGCTGGGATTATAAGCATGTGCCACCATGCCTGGCTAATCTTACATTTTTAGTAGAGACAGTTTCTCCATGTTGGACAAGCTGGGCTCAAACTCCTGACCTCAAGTGATCCACGCCCCTGCTCCCTGGCCTCAGAAAGTACTGGGATTACAGGCGTGAGACACCATGGCTCGCCTACCACATTTTAAACAGTTAAAAAAATAAAAATAAAACAGGTGAAATTAACATTTTTATTTAAGCCATTCAAGATGTTATTTTAACATGTAATCCATATTTTAAAAAGTATTAGATATTTTACATTCTTTTCTTTTGTAGGTCTTTGAAATCAGGTGTGTATTTTATATTTACAGCATCTTTTGATTCAGACCAGGCACATTTCCAGTGCTCAATAGTCACATTTGGCTAGCAGCTACCATATTGAACAGCGCAGCTCTGGAAATTCAAAAGTGAGTAAGATATGATCCCTGTTCTCAACATTTCACAAAGGGAACTCAGATAAAATATAGCACAACTTATGTGGCAAGAAAATATTTTTATCTCAAAATATTACCTTTCCAGGGAGTTTCTTCTTGTTCTTTGTTCTTCGACTTGAGTACTTGCTACTTTTTTTTTTTTTTTTTTTTGAGACAGAGTCTTGCACTGTCGTCCAGGCAGGAGTGCAATGGTGCTCACTATAACCTCTGCCTCCCGGGTTCACACAATTCTCCGCCTCAGGCTCCTGAGTAGCTGGGATTACAGGTGCACACCACTACACCCGGGTAATTTTTTTGTATTTTTAGTATAGGCAGGGTTTCGCTATACTGATCAGATTGGTCATGAACTCCTGACCTCGTGATCCACCTGCCTCAGCCTCCCAAAGTGCTTGGGATTACAGGTGTGAGCCACCACACCCAGCCCCTTGCTATTTCTTATTAAGGTCAAAAAGGATAAAGTCAAGAACAAAGTCTATACATAAATATAAATATAAATAAATAAATATATAACTGTATGTATCTATACATTTGTATTTATGAGTGCATATTTATATATATAATAATATAATTATTATTAATTCACAGAGGAGAATATGGTCTTGAAATTCTGGCTCTCAGAGTTAGCTTTTCTGAGAGGAAGAGGGCTTTTTGAACTAACAGCTAAAAACCAGAAGAATTCAGAGCATGGGGTTTTTACCATAAATGACAGAGCAGAGAGTAACATAAGATATTCTAAGAACATTTCTCTCATTTCAGGACAAATGAAAGTTCTTTCTTCTAGCTAGTAGGAAGAGAAGTATAAGTGATATGACTAGAGCTCTTGGGGGAGCTTGAGAAAGGGCTGCCTTCACTTTCCCAACTCCCTTGAGAGTCCTGGGAGTCAAGATGGGGCAGAACAATAGAAATCTCAGAGAGGCCGGGCGCGGTGGCTCACGCCTATAATCCCAGCACTTTGGGAGGCCGAGGCGGGTGGATCATGAGGTCAAGAGATCGAGACCATCCTGGTCAACATGGTGAAACCCCGTCTCTACTAAAAATACAAAAAATTAGCTGGGCATGGTGGCATGAGCCTGTAATCCCAGCTACTCAGGAGGCTGAGGCAGGAGAATTGCCTGAACCCAGGAGGCGGAGGTTGCGGTGAGCCGAGATCGTGCCATTGCACTCCAGCCTGGGTAACAAGAGCGAAACTCCATCTAAAAAAAAAAAAAAAAAGAAATCTCAGAGAAGAACAACTGGAGGGACTCGCAGAGCAGACAGGACCCTGGCCTGACTCTGGTGGGTACAGTTCCTCATCCAGCCTCGTCTGCATTCAGCTTGGAGGATACACATGCTCAAAAATTTCCTGTGCTGCAGAAGGAACACAGACATGGCCTGGAAAGGAATTTCTTCAGCATGAAAAAGTCACAGAGCAGCATGTGCAGACACTGCCTGAGTGCAAAGGGCACAGGAGAGAGCTGATGACCAAAGCCTGAGTGCTTTATCAAGCAGAGGGCAATGGGAGCCACTAGTCAGACAACTCTCCCCGCCATGCTTCTCCCAGCAAAGAGAAAAGAGGAGAAAAGGGGCAACATTGCAAGAACTGATTTTTAATCTTGAAGGGACTATGAAAACTCTTAAAATGACTGAGTTCACCTTGAACTGTTGAGATTCAAATTCTCCACATCTGTGGACGTGGGGAACATGAGAGCTGGGTAAAGTTCTGTTATAGAGCCACAAAGGAAATTCGTTCTATGCCTGAGCTTTGTAGGACTATAGATTTTGTTACTTATTAAAGTTATAGATGTCATATCAAAGGAATGGAGGAATGCAGGAGCACAGAAGAGGAAGCCACTTACTAGGCCTGCAGGCCTGCAGGAAAGGTGCCAACCAGGAGATGCCATTTGCACTGTCTTGAAGAAAGAATAGGGGTTTGTAAGCACTGAAAAGGACAAGGAGGGAAGTCTCTCCACAGACAGCAGTATAGAGGCATGAAAGCATACAGCATGTTTAGGGCACTCTAAAAAGTTAATGGCTGGAGTCTTGAGGAATGTAGTGGGTGATGACTGCTGAAATAATGTGGCAGCGAGGGCCTTATATTCTCTGCTAAGGAGTTTGGGTTTCCATCTTGTAGGCAACTGGGAATACAGATATTTAAGCAAGAATGTAATTTTTAGCGTGATAATTCTGGTGGTAAAGGATAGATTAGGCAGGAGTGTGTTTTGCAGCAAGGAAAGGCCCTGGTAATAGTTGAGGCCTAAAGGCAGATGAACTAAGGCAGTGGGAATAGAAAGTAAAAGTGGGCTGAGATCTTCAAGAGATTGAATCACTAGGACTGGGTGAATGCCTGGATATAAGGGTGAGGGAAAAGGAGAAATGGAGGATGATAATGTTTCAGGCTTAGGAAACCTGGGCGAACCAGAAAACAAAGGGCATATTTCTTAGGGAAAATCATGGCCAAGGAAAGAGATCAATTTGAGGTACCCATGGGACATCTGGGTAAAGATGTCTAAAGCAGAGTCAGATATATGAACCTGTAGGTCAGAAGAGAGGTAGGGAGTTAGAGTTAGAAATTCATAAGCCAGCATCATTGAGATAGGAGTTGAGACCATGGGAATAGGTGCCATCACCAAGGGGGACATTGTAGAGGAAAAAGAAAGAAGATAAAGAATGGGCAGCAGATAAACTCATGAGATTATAAATTGTAAGAGCAAGAACTCTAGTTTTTTGTTTACGCTCTATTTCTAGTACCCCTAGCACAGGGCCTGATTCATAGAATGTGCTTAATAAATACCTGTGGAACAAATGAATCAACCCAATAAGAAACTACATGTGTAGATGCTTTCTTGCTGCATTCAACCAAGTCCTACAAGCAAGAGATTTATTCAGAACTGGCTGGAATGCAAACATAAATAGAAAAAAGAAAATAAAGCTTTGTTAACAGAAGTTCCCTCTCCTCTGTCTGTGGTCATTTAAACTGATTGAGAGTCCTATAATTTGGAACATTGTAGGGCTAAAAAAGCTAAGAGCTTTTGTACTCCAAATAACAACAGCTTCAGTGGTAGCAAGATTGGTATCTCCTGGGCTTGTCTATCACCCTCTGTTAAGAGTTCTCACCAGCCTACAGAGATGAGTCAATTGGTACAGTCTCACATTATGGGTCATGTATGAATTGCCTCAAGGCAGTGGCTATTAAGCTAAGAGATAGGGAGGAGGGCAGAGTACACAGACATCAGGCAAAAGACCAAAATCTTGAGTCTGAAGACTATATGGAGACAAGATCTATGGTTTGGTTATAAAGACATCAAGTTAACCAGAAGCAATTAGGCCTCATGCCCACTTAATTTTTAAAGGAAGCATATTTTTGAAGAAACCACAAGTCTGAGCAACAGCCTGAGCACATTCTACCCTGTGAGACAATCCATGGCTCCCTGATAGGCAATGAGCCTGGAAATAGCCAAGGGCCACATTATATAAGCAGATTTTCCCAGAGTGCAAAATAAGGGTTTTATAACACAGAATAGGGAGTCCTCCTTATACCCATGCAGCAGCATGTAGATAAGTGGTGTGAGCAAGTGACTGTTGTGTGTTTTGCTTCTCCCCTTTCAGCATGGGAGTTTTCATTGCAGTTTTCCTGCTCCTTTTCATATCACTATACGATCAGTATGTTGGGGGCAATATCTTGCCTTTAAGCTTTAAGAGAGAACGGCCTGCGGGGTTTGCTAACTCACGCCTATAATCCCAGCACTTTGGGAGGCCAAGGTGGGCGGATCACGAAGTCAGGAGTTGGAGACCAGCCTGGTCAACATGGTAAAACCTCGTCTCTACTAAAAAAATACAAAAGTTAGCTGCGCATAGTGGTGCACACCTGTAACCCAGCTACTTGGGAGGTTGAGGCAGGAGAACTGTTTGAACCTGGGAGATGGAGGTTGCAGTCAGCTGAGATCATGCCACTGCACTCCAGCCTGGGTGACACAGCAAGACTCTATCTCAGAAAAAAAAAAAATGGAGAACTGCCTGAACTTGAGGCCGATGATGAGTCTGGTAAGAGCTTGGGACTGTCTTCCTTGGGAGGATAGTGGGTATCTTAGATGTTTTGGTAAGAAAGATGTGTACAGATGTTGGGTAGGCAAGTAGCAGGGTCTGCCACAGGACTGAAAAGAGAATACTCACTAGATTTGGAAAATAGGAGCACAGCGATGATCTTAATGAAAGTAATTTAAGTAGAAGTAGTGGGTGGGGAATGCAGAGAAGCCAGCTTTAGGAGCAAATGGAAGTTGTAGCTTTTTTAAGACTTTGCTGGCTGGGCGTGTGGCTCATATCTGTAATCCCAGCACTTTGGGAGTCTGAGGTGGGCAGATCACCTAAGGTAGGGAGTTTGAGACCAGCCTGACCAACATGGTGAAACCCTGTCTCTATTAAAAATATAAAATTAGCTGAGTGTGGTAGCTCATCTGATGCCTATAATCCCAGCTACTTGGGAGGCTGAGGCAGGAGAATCTCTGGAACCCAGGAGGCAGAGGTTGCCGTGAGCTGAGATCACGCCATTGCAATCCAGCCTGGGCAACAAGAGCGAAACACTGTCTCAAAAAAAAAAAAAAAAGACTTTGCTAATGAAGAGACTATACTGATCATCACTTTCCTGGGGGGTTGCCCCTAAAGGCTTCTTGGTGGGGATTCATTTCTCTATTTTTATCCCCAGGAATTGTGTATGTTCAATATTTACCTCAAGTTTTGCCTATGTTCTTCCAGAACAAAGAAAAGATGATTTCTAGAGTCTTTGGATCCTAGAAACCAAGGCTACTGGAATTGACTCCTCAGCCAAGGATCAGGCTACATATTTTGAAAGATAAAGATCAAGAGCCACATATTTAATGGACCAAGCGAAATCAAGCCATCCTGTTAAATACCTATCCATAAGTATAACTAAACCTCTTTTCCTCCTTTGAAGAGCCCTAAAGCCAGAAATCTTCATTAGTGACTGAGGAGTAGAGGGGACAATATAAGAATTATATATTCAATCTTAGTGTATTTCTGAAAAGAGACATGGGAGTTACACATAGAACGCCTATGGCTGAAAAGGATGTTCAGATATTATGCACTTCACCTGCCAAATGATACCTAATTCATTCACTAGCAGGATATAGGAAATAAGGGGATGAAAGAGAAAAGACCAACTTTTTTAAACTTAGGAAAATGCCCTTTGAATTAAGGAATGAGGATGGTTCAGTGCTGGTGGTGATAATTTTGTTGAGATAGTAGAGAAAAAAAAGTTCCAAGGTGCTCTCTGCAGATACGACACAGAAACATACAAATGAGAAAAACGGTGAACTGTAGTTCTTACTGCTTACACTTTTCATCAATGTAGAATCCATCCGCAACAAAAGGTAAGAAGGAAAAGTAAAAAATACCACCCTTTCTAAAATACTTTGTGGCCTGGGTCATCATTTGTGACCTCTAAATTGTAGTCACAAACGATCCATTCCCCACAGCAATAAATGCTATTAGTGGAATCATCTACTGATGTCAGCTCACCAAATCCCACAGAGCAGCCCCAATGATGAGGCATTGACACTTACCGCAGGGCACCGAGTACGTCCTTTGAAAACCAACTCTGCATACCACTTTGCAGAACTGGTGTGGGACTTGCTGAAACAGTCTGTGGCTCACAGGTTGCCTGTGGGGTTTTCCTTCCATCATTTTCTTTTTTAGTTGAAAGGCAGCCATAAGAACTTTATTGTCTATCTTCTCCACCTAGAACCATGGTAAAGAAAGACTGAACAAGAGGCTAGAGAACTGCTTTTTAAATTGCCTGTTATACTGCTTCAAAAATAAAGGAGCTTATGTGTGTACTATTACTTTGCATGCAATTTGTTTTTCATATAAAGTTGCAAAAGAGTCTATCCTCCCTCTAATCCTCTCCTATTTTGATTCTATCTCTTCAAAATTCCCTGCCCCATCCCTAATAAATTCCTTTAACAAAAATTCGCTGATGTAGATATAGTTTCTGCCCTCTTAAGCTCATAGTTTAGTGAGATAGAAAATAGGTAAACAATTTTAACACATTGTGATAAATGCTATTCTGCTTCTTTTATTTTGCTCAAAGATGGGCTTCCTGGATCTGGAATCTTTTCCTTCTGTGTGTCCTGATGTCATTTCTACCACCTGATTCCAATTATACCCCTTGTGCCTGCCCTGCCCTGCTCTCTTTCCAGAGAGATTGACCTAGGATTCCAAGTCCATCAGCAATCAGCTTAGCATCATCAGCAGGTGAGCTTTTCTTTTGGCTACAGATGCAAGTTAATAACAGGATGAGCCAAATCTTCCCCTTTGTTAGGTATACCTTTAAAACCTGCAAACCACATTTTTCAAACTGCTTCTTCTGATCCAGAAACTCTTGAGTTAAAGGCACAGGAGATTTCAGAAATAAGATATTTTCTTTCATTTTGTCTTGGGTTTTTTGCTGCTGATTAGTCCACTGTCCTAAAAATGGGTAACACAAGAACTTTGTTTCAATGTTCTGAGAGAGGAAAAGAGAAATTTAATGAAACAAAATCTAGAAATTTAGAGGAAGGGATTAGCCAGTTTAAATTGTATGCCTCATGTGTTTAAGACATGCAAGGAGAGCTTTAATACTATGAGCAGTCAGGATAAAATAAAGGGGCAATACACTTGCCTTTGGACGATCTGGATCATGAGGCTAAGGAGCTGTGAGTATAAGGAGCATTAATATATATTTGTTTCTACACAATCAATGCTGTAATGATGAGAAATAATTGTGTTGCTCATAGGAAATGTTTTTATTTCTAGCCCCAACGCCTATCAGCAAAAAGAGGCAGGCATTAAAAAACATTAATTAAGGAATGATGGGAAATGATATGACATTTGTATAACACTTCAAAAATTTCAGTATCCTTCCTTATTTGATCATTACAGCACCACCAAGAAATAATTAACACAATTTTGCAAATAAAGAAACTGAAGTTCAAATAACTTGCCCCATATCACACACCTAGGGAGTAAAGAGCTAAGATTACAAACCTGGATTTCATCAATGTTTTTGCAAGTGGACAAGGCAAAATACTTGGAACATGCATCACTCATATACCACCCAATGAAGAAGAGCAAAATTTGGAGATTAAGAGTCTGTAGTGTTTTGTTTTACCTCCCTTCCTCTTTTCTCCTTCTCCCATTTCCCTCCCTCCCTCCCGCCCTTCTTCTCTCCCTTCCTTCCTTCCCTTCCTTCCTTCTCTTCTTTCCTTCCTTCCTTCCCTTCTTTCCTTCCTTCCTTCCTTTATTCCTTCCATTCTTTTTTTCAAGAGGCAACCTGTTTTTGTCCAAGGAAGCTCCTAACTGGACTAAATATACAGGTGGACAAATGAAAACCAAAAAAAGACTTGTTTTCTCTTGGTTTATTTTTAGTTTGACTTAAGACCAAGTATGCTAAAATGACCTAATCCCTGGTTCATTAACTAATTGAATGGGCTCGATTTAACCACAAAAAGCAGGTGATGAATAAAAGGAAACTCACTAGAGAGCCAAGTTGTAAATCTGAGAAAGTAGGAAGGACAAAACTCCCACAGCAGAGGAGCTGCAAAGCCTGGAAACTTAAAGGGAAGACTGTAAATTAACTTTGGAGAGCAATAGCTCATACTTATAAGGTGTAATATTAGAGTTCAGTTTACTTAAAGTTCACCAAACATTTGCCAAGCTTCTCCTACATGCCAGGCATTGGTCTGGGCACTGGAGACCCAAAGATCACAAACTTCTGTGATTGGAATCACCTACCATGAAGGATTAAAAGGGTGGCATAAAAGAAAGGCGATGTGTAACTTTGATTTTAAAAATAAAATTATTTTTCTGATGGATATTTGATATTCCTTATAATGATAACTCATCTCATAATTAAGATCTTAATCTGATTAAGAGAGGGTAGGTTTGCCTGAATCTGTTTCTGTGGAGTAATATACTTAGTCATCAACTACCAAAAGTGCCATCTTGTGGCAGAACAAGGGACTTACATGACTGAAAATTGTCAATAGCTGGGCGAATTGGCCCACCTTATGATTTCAGTTAATTTAAAGCAATGCCACACACACACACACACACAGGAGTAATGCCGCAAGTTTTATAGGAGATTCATGTTTGTTTCCTGTTCTGAGCTGACACTGGTGTCAGTTTCAATACCTACACACATACTTAATTCTTTATGTTTAAAAATAATCTTGGTTCTTATGCTTGTGTATTCTTTTCGTCCATTTTTTTGTCACTGTGTTTTCTGTGGAATGTGGATACAACATTTATGACAAACTCTCACTCTAACCATTTATTCCTGCATTATTTTTACAAACACATGGTGAAAATAAGGCATCCTTTGAAATTTTGTCTCTGAATTTTTGCACCTCTTACTAAATCCATTCTCCACATTATAACCAGTGATATTTCTAAAAACACAAGTCTGATCTTAACTTTGCTTAACATTCTTTAAGGTTCCCTATTTGTTTCAAGAAAATATCTGAACTCTTATGTGATTTATAAGGTTTGGCATAATCCAGGCCCTGTGACAGTCTTATGTCTTGAAATTTTCTTTCGTTGTCTGACTAACTTCTACCTATTATCCAGTTCTCCATTTATGACACCGGTGATAAACCCTCCCCTGACTTCCCGAGTCTGGGTTAGGTGCCTCTCCACAGTGCTCCCAGAACACTTTTGCTCTCCTTGATCATCACCTGTGTGCTGTCAGGTGACAGCACCATTAGACTTTGAGCAGGAACAATGTCCATCTTGTTTATTGCTGTAGTCCTTGCACTTAACACAATGCTTGGCAGATGATGGGTGCAATTTGCATTAGTTGAATGAAATCTATCTCTATCTCTATATCCTCAGATGGCATTTCAATAGTATAATTTCCTAGTTAGCTCTAGGGCTCCGTTAAAAGGATCTCTTCAGATCCAAATTCCCACATGTATTCTGATGTGTTTAGCCACTGAATGGGAGATACCTGAGTGTACCTGCCATCACCAATGTATAATTTCAGTGGTGAGAGGGCTCGAGGTAAGTGATTTCAGGGTTCCTAATGCTGTCAGTAACAAATAAATGCAATAAAACCCGATAAAAGAAATAAGTCAATCAGATGGAATGTGTCGGCATCTGAGTGCTGCATTTGAAGAATTAGAGATGTACATTTTTCACCATTGGTTGGGCTTGAGTTTTACCAAACTTCCATGTAATTGCCTCTTAGACAATCAAAGTTATTACAAGTAAATCAAACTGTGTTTATGTGTGTGTTCACAAATAACCCTGATTGCTAAAAAGAGACCCAAAAAGTGGCTCACAAAAGTTTATGATCTAACACAGAACCAAAATGTTTGCTCCCTTCTCTCTCCTTGTCTCTTACCCACATCCATGTACACACTCACACTGAAAGAAGGAGTAATGGGGAGAGTTTACTTTCTAACTTAATAGAAAGTTACTCACCTAAGAAGTTCCAAAGGCTTTGCTCCTTTTTCCTTGCCATTTCTTCCTGTACTTTACAAAGCATATCTTCAATGTTCATAACCACTTCAATGAGGTCAGCCTGGGCTCCTGCAATCTCTAATTTTGTGCTTTCTGGGCTGGTCATTTCTGTGATGGTGACCCTTGAAGTTTTCTGAAGCTGAGACAAAATATCATGCTCCTTTTTCCCAAGGTACAGAATATGGTTATTCTCAATGATGTGATTGTGATGGAGACTCAGAATTCTCTGGATCCAGGCTTGGGCCTCACACATTTCTTCTATGTTGAATCCCATCAGATTGATGGCAGGAGATGTAGCTTCAGGTCCATTTTCTCTTTTCTTCTCTCTGGATGACTGGGGGACTGAAATGACTATCATAAGCAACCATGGAAGACTAGTGGGTTTTACAACAGTGCAGAACAAAACACCATGGCCAGTGTTTTACCCCTGTGATATTGCCACCATTGTCAGCAGTAGCAGCTTCAACTAAGTACCTATCTCTGAAAGCTGCATTGGGTATGAAGGAAATCTACATCTATCATTTACAGCCTCCTTGGGAACACAGAGTTTAGCTTGTAACAGATTGGCTTTATCATCGCCTGCCTCTGCTATGTTGCATTTGTCAGTTCACAGATGAATTCACTTTGTGATCTCACCCTGTATGTTAACTTATTTCTTGCTGAATAGGATTTTCCTTAACCTCTTGCTACTACTAGTTTTAAAATCAAACTTCTCTGAAAGACACAGAACTTGAAGAGTCAAAATTCTGGACAGCAGTGGAAATTAGTTAGCATCTTTCTCCTGAGATTTCAGCTGTGTGGTATAAGAGCTACAAAAAGTATAAGGACAGACCTAGAAGTAAGATGGGGAGGATGGCCTTCCTCTGAGTAAAGATAAAAAGATAAAAGCCAAGGTTTTAGACAACAGAAAGAAGTAACCCAGGTTTTTAATTGGAGGCATACTTTTTTTTTAAACCCTTGCTCTGTCTGGGAGATTATATTATTTTTTAGGAGAAAATGTGAACAATGCATGGTGATATTTCATTTATCCATTATTTCCAAGAGAAAATTCTTCTTCTTATTATTTTGCTTTAGAGACAGGGTGCTGCTATGTTGCCCAAGCTGGTTTTGACCTCCTGGCCTCAAGCAATACACCCACCTTGGCCCCCCCAAAGCACTGGGACTATAGGCATGAGTCACCATGCCTGGCTAACAATTATTTTTCTAACTTTAGCATATGTGTTGGCAAAGTGAATACTATTCTTCTAGATAAGCAAATTGTTCAAATCACTAAAGGATAAGTCTTCTAGCACCGAAATACATTGAATTTTTAACTATGAGCACCAAAATACATTGAATTTTTTATTTAAAAAAAAAATTTTTTTTTGAGACCAAGTCTCTCTGTTGCCCAAGCTGGGGTATAGTGGTACAATCTTAGCTCACTGCAATCTCCACCTCCTGGGTTCAAGCAATTCTCCTGCCTCAGCCTCCCAAGTAGTTGGGGTTATAGGCATGCACCACCATGCCTGTTTAATTCTTTTTTGTATTTTTAGTAGAGATGGAGTTTTGCCATGTAGGCCAAACTGGTCTTAAACTCCTGACCTCAGGTGATCTACTCGCCTTGGCCTCCCAAAGTGCTGGAATTACAGGCATGAGCCACTGTGCCCGGCTGAGTTTAATATTTCTAATGGTAATGTACCATCTCTCTGCCTTCTTAAATAGTTTTTTGTTTTGTTTTGTTTCGTTTTTTTTAAAGATGGAGTTTCACTCTTGTTGCCCGTTCTCAGCTCATCACAACCTGTGCCTTCCAGGTTCAAGCAATTCTCCTGCTTCAGCCTCTTGTGTAGCTGGGATTACAGGCACGCGCCACCATGCCCAGCTAATTCTGTATTTGTAATAGAGACGGGGTTTATCCACGTTGGTTAGGCTAGTCTCAAACTCCCGACCTCAGGTGATCTGCCCACCCCAGCCTCCCAAAGTGCTGGGATTACAGGTGTGAGCCACTGCACTCCACCTTTCCTAAATAGTTTAACCTTTCCTTCAAAATCTGAGATCATCATCATGAATCATTTTGTTTATTTGTTTGTTTGTTTTGAGACAGAGTCTCACTCTGTCACCCAGGCTTGAGTACAATGGAATGATCATGACTCACTGCAGCCTTAACCTCTCTGGGCTCAGGTGATCCTCCCCCCTCAGCCTCCCAAGTACTTGGGACTACAGGCATGCAACACCATGCCTGGCTAATTTTTGTATTTTTTGTAGAGATGGGATTTTACAATGTTGCCCAGGCTGGTTTCAAACTCCTGACCTCAAGTTATCCACCTGCCTTGGACTCCCAAAGTGCTGGGATTACAGGCTTGAGCCACTGTGCCCCATCATTAGTCATTTTTATGTCAATTATTGTCCTGTGCTATATAATTCCTTTATAGATGTCCTCAAGAATTACTGAATTAAATGGTGACATTTGCCCTCATTATTCAGATTAATGACATACAGACCTTTTCATATTCCTTTTCTATGTTAATCCTCACCTAAAACTCCTCTTATGTACCCCCTGTGAATTCCCTGTGGTTCCCCAAACATGCACTGGATTTCTTTGCTCCTGTGGGTTTTCTCTAGCTTGGGTGCCCCACCCTACCATCTCTGGACATTGGAAATTTTGCCATGCTTAAAGTCCAGCTTACAACCATCTCATTCATGAAGCCATTCTTGATCTTTTCCAGTCAAAAGGAATCTCTTTCTCCTCTGAGCTACCTGGGGAGTTTGTCTATCTTCTTAGTCATTATTTATTCCCTGGCATTTGTTTAATGCTTTCAACTTATAGAACATTTTTACATACATAATCTTTTATTATCCTCACAACAGACTGTTATTAGCATCATTATACAGATAAATAAACAGGATCATAAAAGGCACAGTTCCAGGCCAGAACTGTTAATGCTCTCTTCTTACTTCTAGCACTACTAGGCCACTGAACATTCCATCTCAGTCCACCCAAACTCCACTAAAAGAATGACATTATATTCCTGTAATCCCAGCATTTCGGGACCTTGAGGCAGGCAGATCACTAGAGCCCCTGAGTTTAGTCAAGTCTGAGCAACATGGCAAAACACCCTCTCTACCAAAAAATAAAAATAAAATAAATTAGCTGGGTGTGGTGGCCTGTGCGTGTACTCCCAGCTACTTGGGAGACTCAGGTGGGAAGATGGCTTGAGTCTGGGAGGCAGAGGTTGCAGTGAGCTGAGATCATGCCACTGTACTCCAGCCAGAGTGACAGAGCCAGACTTTGTCTCAAAAAGAAAAGGAAAAAAAAAAAAAAAAACTGTTTGGCATCAAAATTGTTTAGGGAGTATTCAAAATAGATATGCTTGTTCTAGATCCAGAGTTCCTGAATTAGCATCTGTAGAGTTAGGACAAATACATATTTTGGGGTTTTCTGTTTGTTTATGTTTTAAAGTTTCCATCATGATCCCAGTGATTACTCGGGTTTGAGAAGCATTGAGTTAACCCACTTATCTGGTATTACTGAGATCTGTTTTCTGGAATTACAATAAATAACCCTATTTAGATGTTCAGAGCAGAAAGAGTGACTGAATGCCAGTTTATGGAAGCCAGAACTTTTTCTTGGGAAAAATCATAGATATCTATTTATGAATGAAGCACCCACACCTTGGATTATCCACTGAAACTCAACCTCCCTGTGTTCATAACATGAAACTGGACCAAGAAAGAATAGAATCATGGTCATGGTATAGAGTAGGCAGGTATCCAAGCGGGACCACAATGGAATACATTTGGCTTATTTATTCTTCTTCTCCCCTCCATTAGTTCAGATGATCAAGAATAGAATGAGCCAATGGTGGCCAACACTACTTACTGGCCTGTGAATTTCATACTTACCACTGTTCAAATTCAGCATCTTGGACCTCTTTGCCATTTCAGCACTGAAAACCTATAAGAAGCAAAATGGAGCAAAGAGTCATAGGCAGGGGTGATAGCCATCATCATCAAAATCTCCCTCTGCACCCACAGCACTTGACTTCATTCACTCTGTCAGTCCCATTCCTACTACCACAAATCTAAAGCGGCTTTTAGGAAAGTCCTAAAAGGACCACAATCTATGAGAACACTGAGAGAACAAGCTATTCCACTGAGAGGAAATCAAAATCTGGTATAAATAAAGAAGAATATATATCCCAAGACAAAATATAACCATGCATTCATTCAACAGATATTGATGCCCTGCTTGCACTAAACTAAAGCTGTGGATATGTCACTGAAGAAGAAAACTATTGGTAGGTGCTCTTGTAACTAATAAAACACAAAGCCATTTCAAAAATGGGATATACACCAAACTTGGTCTGTAAATTGAATAATAACCTGTTTTATATGAGTTAATTCTGATAGAGTGCTTAAAAGTGTTCCTAGCATATAGTAAATATTCAGTACATAGTAGCTATTGTAATTGTTATTATATGAGAGACTATAGACAAAGATTTGTGCATATTGCAATGCAGATCCATGAACATAATGTGTATTTGAAATAACACATCTCACTTAGCTTTTGGAGCCATGGTGTTCACTGTCTTCCTTGTCCCTCCCCCGCTTTTTTTTTAAGACAAGGTTTTGTTCTTGTTGCCCAGGTTGGAGTACAATGGTGCAATCTTGGCTCACCACATCCTCTGCCTCCCAGGTTCAAGTGAGTCTCCTGCCTCAGCCTTCCAAGTAGCTGGGATTTCAGGCATACACCACCACGCCAGGCTGATTTTGTATTTTTAGTAGAGATGGGGTTTCTCCAAGTTGATCAGTCTGGCCTAGAACTCCCAACCTCAGGAGACCTATCCGCCTTGGCCTCCCAAAGTGCTGGGATTACAGGCATGAGCCACAACGCCTGGCCTTCCTTGTTCAAAGTAGGTACAATTGGCATCCAAATGGTCCTGACTTATGATGGTTCGATTTAGGATGTTTTGGCTTTATTGATGGTGCAAAAGTGATACACATTCAGTGGTAACTGTACTTGGAATTTTTAATTTTGAGCATTTCCCAGGCTGGTGATACGTAGTAAGATGCTCTCTCGTGATGCTGGGCAGCGGCAGTAAGCCAAGCTCCCAGTCAGCCATGTGATCACAAGAGTAAACACTGTATTCAATAAGTTACATGAGATATTCAACACTTTATTACAAAATAGGCTTGTGTTAGATGATTTTGGCCAACTACAGGCAAATGTTAAGTATTCTGAACATGTTTAAAGTAGGATAGGCTAAGCTGTAATGTTTGGTAGGTTCGGTGTATTAAATGCATTTATCTCATTGCAAGACTTATTTAGGAAGAAAATACATGCTTATTACAAGGCTTATTAGAAGATGTACACATATGTCTGCACACACATCATACCTCCATGTGGATATAATATAGCGTTAATGCTGAAAAGAGCCTGCAGGAATGGTCAACATTTACTTTTAATGTAAATTACTGTGTAAGAAAATCCTCATTTGAGTTACAAAACTGAAAGACGTGTCATTCTCTGTGTTTCTGTTTAGTGGTTCAGAACAAGGCTTTGGGGGCAGACAGACACCAAGGTTCTTGGTTTGGCCATGTGACTAGCTGTGTGCACATTAACCTCTGGGTTTTGTTTTCAGATTTGTGAAACGGAGATGACAACAGTGGCTTAATCAAAAGATTGAGGGGAGAAGGAAATGAGACACCTTAGCGCAGTGCCTGATAGACACAATACATGGTCCTTTTTTTTTTTTTTTGAGATGACCCAGGCTGGAGTGCAGTGGTACAATCTTGGGTCACTGCAACCTCCGTCTCCTGGGTTCAAGTGATTTGCCTGCCTCAGTCTCCCAGATAGCTGGGATTATAGGCACACACCATGATGCCCAGCTTAGTTTTGTATTTTTAGAGAGCTGGGGTTTCACCACGTTGGCCAGGCTGCTCTCGAACTCCTGACCTCAGGTGTTCTACCCAGCTCAGCCTCCCAAAGTGCCACTGTGCCTGGCCCCCTATGGCACTATTTTTATTATTAGTACCTGGGGGAGCGCTCAGAGTGTGGTTGATCTTTCCATTTTTCTTAAACTGCCATACACATTTTTGTTTTTATGTTGGAGAGAATGAACCTTCTTTTCTAGATGTGGTTAATTCCTCTTGTATGAAAATGGCACTTCATAAACAGTTCAGGGGCTGGGCACAGTGGCTCATGCCTGTAATCCCAGAACTTTGGGAGTCTGAGGTGGGAGTATAGCTTGAGTCCAGGATTTGAAACCAGTCTGGGCAACATAGTGAGATCCCACTTCCACAAAAAATAAAAGTATCAGCCAGTCATGGTGGTGCATGCCTGTAGTCCCAGCTACTCAGGAGGCTGAGATGGAAGGATCACTTGAGCCTGAGAGGTTGAGGTGCAGGGAGTTATGATCATACCATTGCACTCCAGCCTGGGCAACAGAGCAACATCCTGTCTCAAAAAAACAAAAAAAAAACAAAAAAAGGAAATTAAAAAAAGAAATAGTTCAGGGATGTGATCAGAACACCTATCTGGGCTTACAGATAATCCTCTGAATGGGGGAAACTGATGAACTTCATCTGAAGGACAGGATGACTCATTTTATCAGAAAGTGAGCTATTTCCTTGGGTTATGCACCACCATCTCACCAGTTAGCTGTGGGTGAGGCACAGTGGGACACTGGAGCTGGCATACAATGACTCAAGAAAGCCTGCTGTGAACATCTCTTCCAACTCGGCTTTCAGTGATGTTGTATCAACAGCTTGAAAGTAGCCACAGAAATCAGCAAATGCTACGAATCTCCTGTGTCTAATTGGGCAGCAGAAGGAATAAGAACCTTTACACTTGCTCCAAGAAAGAGCAAGCTGGAACAAGTATAAATGATTTCCTTACAGGGAGAGAGAAAATGGCAACCATGCGCATAGAGCAGGCCAGGAGGTGGGAATATGAGCAGTCAGAGAACTAGTGTTTGCAGCCACCCTCTGCCAGGCACCAAGCGAGGCCCTTTATATCCAAAATCCAGACATGTGCCGGAAAGTCTCACTAAAACTTGGATTTTGCTGTTGGCAGAATCAGAAACCTATATCTTGAAAACCTATTTTAGGCTGCTGTATCTAATTTCCTTTCCTTTTTATTCTTCCCTAACATCATTAAAATCTTTCTCGAAAATGCCAGTTAAGTGAGAATAAAGCAGAGATGGTCGGTACTTTAAAGGCAGAACAGCACCGCAATAGATACTAATTATGTGGAATATATCATGGTTTATTCATATGTTAGAAACTCATCTTGCTCTGTCCACCCATACAAAAAGCTGAGATGAAGTGCACTCAGATGCATAAGACACACTTCCCTCCAACACATGGCCCCCAAACGTGTTAGACCACAGCTGATTTCCTTCCAAGGTCATTTACAGATGAGCTAAAAGAGAATAGTTTGAATTTGAGGGCAGTACTGGAGACATGGCAAAACTAGCCAGGCATACCGCTGCTGTTAAAGAAATTGGAAAGAGGCCGGGTGCGGTGGCCAGATGGCTGAGGTGGGCGGATGACGAGGTCAAGAGATCGAGCATCCTGGCCAACATAGTGAAACCCTGTCTCTACTAAAAATACAAAAATTAGTTGGGCGTGGTGTCACGCATCTGTAGTCCCAGCGACTCGGGAGACTGAGGCAGGAGAATTGCATGAACCCAGAAGGCGGAGGTTGCAGTGAGCTGAGATTGTGCCACTGCACTCCAGCGTGGTGACAGAGCCAGAATCCATCTCAAAAAAAAAAAAAAAAGAAAGAAAGAAAAGAAAAGAAAAACAATTTACTGAATTTAGTAATAATTCAGCGCTGAGTGAACTACAGCTCATTACAGTTGATGTAATAATAGCTAACTGTCTACTCTGTGCTAGGTACTATTCTAAGTGTTTTACATGTATTAACTCATTTCATCTTCACAACAGCTCCATAAGAGAGTAATTAATATCCCTCTTTTAAGGTTGAGGAAACTGAGGCATAGATAAGTAAATTAACTTGCCCATGGTCATATAGCCAGTAAGAGGCAAAGCTGAGACTGATGGGGATTTTAGAGGGAAAATTGATTTAATGAAAAGAAGACAGGCCAGGCATAGTGGCTCACACCTACTATCCCAGAGCTTTGGGTGGCTGAGATGGGAAGATCACTTGAGCCCAGGAACTCAAGATACCAGACTGGGCAACATAGTGAGATTGCTTTTCTACAAAAAAATTTAAAAATTAGCCAGGCATGGTAGCATGTGCCTGTAGTGCCTGCTACTCAAGAGGCTGGTATGGGGGGATCATTTGAGCCCAGGAATTCGAGGCTGCAGTGAGCTATGATTGTGCCACTGCACTCCAGCCTGGGCAACAAGCAAGACCTCATCTGTTTAAAAAAAAAAAGTGTGGGGGAGAGAAGACAGATAATTTGTCTTAAATAAACTGGATTTGAGATGAATGATCAGAGATCCAAGTGGAAATGAGAGAGGGATGGCTAAGAAGACAGGACTTTAGAGAAGTTGTAAGAATAGTTGTGTTCTTGAAGGGAGAGAGATGAGAGAGGAGCAGAGAACCCCACACTGAAACTAGAAGGTTGCTTACCTTTTCTCTCTTTTTCTCTTTTCTTGAGACAGTCTCGCACCATCACCTAGGCTGGAGTACAGTGATCTCAGGTCACCACAGCCTCCATCTCCTAGGTTCAAGCAATTATCTGCCTCAGCCTCCGGAGTAGCTGGGATTACAGGCCCCTGCCATCATGCCCAGCTAATTTTTGTGTTTTTAGTAGATGGGGTTTCACCATCTTGGCCAGGCTGATCTTGAACTCCTGACCATGTGATCCACCTGCCTCGGCCTCCCAAAGTGCTGGGATTACAGGCACGAGCCACAGTGCCTGGCCGGTTTCTTACCTTTAAGAAGCAGAGGGAAGAATAGGTGCCAATAAAGGAAAAGACAGAAGCTAGGTAGTGGGGTAAACATGGCTTCTATAATGAGATGTTTTACTAGGTCAGAGGTAGACAATATATAAAAATTAAACTTCACCAAGCTAGAACACCACCAGACTGTACAGCACCTAGCCCTGCATCCTACACTGTAGATACTAAACAGATGTGGTTGAATGAATAAAAATTAACTGTAGGACATTTCTAAGACATTAACTTACCTTACATGTCTCTAAGTCTGTTGGTAAGATCACAAACTTTACAGTTAACTGGTGTTTTAAATGGTCTTTGGCAAATGTTAAAACTTCATCAAATAAAATCTCTGCTGCTGTTTCCTTCTTTATTTCCATGTGTCCAGTCCCAAGGGCAGGAAAGGAAATGGATGTTATATTTTGCTCAACGCATTTTTCCAAACACGTCTTCATTGCATGTCTTAAGTTCTGTAGGAAAACACAAATTTAAGATCAGCATTTGAGTCAAGAACAAGATTCCACTTACCCCTTGATCCTGCCCATATTTTACAATGCCCACCTCCACTCTCCCTCAGGGTTCATGGCCCTGCCTCCTCAGATGACAGGAAAGATCCCACTCCACAAGGAGCCACTACAGCTAAAAGGTTAAATGGTGAGAAACTGAAGCAATAGAGTGGCCCATGTTGTGCTATGGGCAAGGGTACACAAAGTGGCCCAGTTTGTGTACCCTTGCCCATCTCCCCAGATCAGAGAGCCAACCATCATTTTACCCCACTCACCTGCCCCTTCCAAGTCAACATAAAGAACTCTTGAAGTTTCATAAAAAAGATTTGAGATTAAAATAAGAAAGTAGCCCTTATTCAATGTCATTAAGATCTACCATGTAATTTCTCTTGGAGAAATGCTAATATTTTTGGCAGATTTAAACTCCTACCAACTGCTAACATCAAAACTAATACAGGAATGTTGGCCATGGAAGGACTTTGGAAAACTGAGGGATAGAGGGAGACTAGAGGACCAATTTGGGATTAGAGAGCTCTCGAGTTAAGAGAGGACCAGAAATGGTGAAGAAAAAAGATAAAAGTAGAGTGGGGGATTAATTTCCCTCTTTTCATCCTCTGAGTGGGTTACTCCTATTGTTTATGCTCGTATTTTATGTTCCTCAGTGGAGAGTGGGCTAGAGAGCCAGGCTCCACTACAAGCACGGGTGGAAAGAGACCCCAGGTAATAGATTTAATTGGAATTATGCTGGAGGGGAAACCCCAGCTGGGAATACAACACATGAGGGACATGAGAGGCTGAATCCCTTGCCTACTTAGGAAAAGGCCTACGAGGTCACTGGGTCTGTTGATGTGAACCAGTGTTTGTTCAGACTGAGGGAGTATTAGTTTCAGTGTCTATCTGTAGTACGTTTACTTAAAATTTAGATATAGGTTAAATAACATTTTAAATTAAACTTCTTTGTTGTTTGGTTTGTTGGTTTTTTGAGATAGTCTCCCTCTGTCACTCAGGCTAGAGAGCAGTGGTGTGATCACAGCTCACTGCAGACTCAATCTCCTGGACTCAAGTGATCCTTCTACTTCAACCTCTTGAGTAGCTGGGACTACAGGCATGCATCACCACACCTGGCTAATTTTTTTTTTTTTTTTTGTGGAGATGAAGGTCTTGCTATGTTGTCCAGGCTGGTCTCAAACTCCTGGGCTCAAGTGATTCTCCCACCTTGGCCTCTCAAAGTGCTGGACTCATAGGTGTGAGCCACTGCACCGGACCTAAATCAAATTTCTTAAGATAACATGTGGCTACTGTACTTGTTCAGTATTTCAGGTATTCACAGGCGTGCTAAAAAAATTGGTAACTGTATCACTTGACAAAATATCTCATGAATGTAATGAAATGATGGAAATTTGTAAAAAAGAAAAAAAAGGACTGTATAGACTATGGAGCTACAGAAAGACACATTTATTTTAAACTTACAAAATGTTTTTCAAATTCTGAATACCACAGTACATGGTATACATATCGACAGGACAAGTTAAATCCTCTTGTGTCCAGTACCAACTGCAACTGTGACTGTTTAGCTCTTGTGTCAAGGAACTCCAATTGCATTTCAACTCCTGCTTGTTGTAGAATTGACTTTGCCACAGGTCCACTTGTAATATCACGTGGGTTTACAGAATTAACAATTACTTCTGCCTGAAAAGGGAAGAAAGGATAGGATTCATTGTTAAATTCCTTCTTCTTAAATGACTAATTTACATCTTTACTTCCGTGAAGAGCTTTGCAAAATACTCTTTGAAGATTCTAAATTCTAAAAAAATTCATTTAATAATGAATAGAAACTCATATTTCTAAAGAGCAATTATTTGGCTGCCAGAATGTAGCTGTTGGTCCTATTCAGAAATTATGTAAATAAAGACTATACTTTCAGGGATCATTTTTATAGTGTGTTACTAGAGAAGTTTCTCTGAATGTGTAGAGCACCAGAAATTATGTAAATATATGGATGATATAATTTCCATTGCAAACATCTGTTTGCCCCTTACTGGATTACACTTTCCAGATGTCTAAATTCTGAGTATTCCCTGTGATTTGTTTTAAGCTCCGTTGATAAATGGTTTTATCTCTGCCCCACCACCATGACTTTTTGATATTTTAGTGTGTGATTTGTTTTGTCTCTTTTCAATAGAGAGGAAATAAAGCTTATTGGGAAATTTCCACCTCCTAATGTTTTTTATGGCTTAAGGCATAAGAAACTTAACATGGTTAAAGAAACTCCAAATGAGACAAAAAGGTCTTCAATAAAAAGTAGGCCTCCTTCTTGGTCAGGTCCCCAAGACCCCCTACTCACCCACCCATCCTATGGGCAACCAAGTTCTTTATCTCTCTCTTCAGAAATAGACTGTATACATACATGAACTATATTTTAGATAATATCATCTCCTAGTTAACCCTTTAGATAATATCATCTCGTAGTTAACCCTAGTTAACCTTTAGATAATATCATCTTCTAGTTAACCCTCAGAGCTGTGCTAAAAACTATAGGGTCCTTCCTTCCCTCGTACTAAAATTCCCCTAATCATTCTATTGACTTTGGCTCCCTTTCAGGGCAACTCAGGTACTTCTTCACTGATGTTAATGAATCCTTCACTTTGAAAGCACAGTTAGCATTTGCAGTTTGGGGCTCTGACAGCCTTTAAAAATTGTAATGTTTCTAATGTTGCTGGCAATAAATATATATTAAAAATTCAGTTAAAGGGGTAAGTTACTCAACTAGGATGCTTTCATTTTAATTTTAAATTTGCATGCTAATGACTTCTCAAATATTTAATTTTATGAACTCCCCTCATTCTTCTAATTGTCTTATAGGCAATAAGTGTTTTTTTTCCAGTGTCTAAGTCTATTTGATTGTAGTCACAGGAGTCTTAAGTGGGACATCACTGATCCAGAAGAAAAGAAAATATAGCCTTATATTCGTTCTCCCCCTCTGTTGTGGTGCCTTCTCCCTTCTGCCCGCTCCACTTATTCATCATTAATTTGCTGAACACATAGATGCATGCCCAGAACAGGCCTTGGGGCTATAGGGATGAATAAGCCAAGATCTCCATCTTCAAAGTACTCTGTCTAGCAGGGGAGCTGCACTAACTCAGAAATACCTAGGTTCACTGCTACCCTGGTTCCTTCCCCGTCCCTGCCAGCATCCTTGCCTTTGTGCCCAGTGACCCCAGCTAAATGCTTAGTTGCACCTTGTATTCTCCACAGCCCCTGGCAGAGTTATATTCTGTGTATAAACACACAGACTATGACTTAGAGCTCCACCTGTGTCTCCTGACTCCAGTCAAGCTCAGTGTTTTCTGTAATTCCTCTGTATCTCTCTGATCAAGTCACTATGACCACCCAGAAAGCTTCCCCTCCTGCCAATCATACCCATCAAAACTTGAGATCAGATTCAAAACTCATACCTTCTGAAGCAATCTTTCTTAGTGCACTCCAGTCCACTCTTGTCATAATACTCTTAAGTATTATTTTTGTTTACTATTGATAGGTTGCTTCAGAAACGTTGAGATGGTTTTCCTCCCCAGAAGGATTTTTTAAAATAAAGAATATTTTTACAATAAAGAATATAATTGATTTTAGGTTCCTTGGGATCAAAGATTGTTCTAATTCCTCATGAGCCTAAGATAATAGCAATGGCAATAATGATGATAAATACTACATACCAAGCACTGCTCTAAGCATTTTATGTGTATTGATTGCAGCTTTAAGACATAAGCACTATAATTATCCTCATTGTACAAATGAGGAAACTGAAGACCAAAAGATAAAGTAACTTGCTCTGGGTTGCCCACTTAATAAACAGCAAAGCTGGTATTCAGATCCAGATGGCCTAGCCCTCAATGTTATATTTTTATTCTTTTTTTTTTTTTTTTTAAGAGACAAAGTCAAAGTCTTGCTCTGTTGTCCTGGCAGGAATCACTGCAGCTTTGAACTCATGGACTCAAGTGATCCTCCCACCTTAGCCTCCCAAAGCAGCTGGGATTACAGATGTGCATCATCGTGCCCTGATAATTTTTTTTTTTGAGAGACATGGTCTTGCTATGTTCCTCAGGCTGGTCTTAAATGCCTGACCTCAAGTAATATGTCTGCCTTGGCCTCCCCAAGTGCTGGTTATTACAGGCATGAGCTACCATGACCAGCATTAAAAAAAAAAACTTAAATTAAAAATTTTTAAAGAGATGGGGTCTGGCTATGTTGCCCAGGCTGGCCTTCAACTCCTGGGATCAAATAGCAGCTGGATTACAGGCATATGCCACTACACCTGGCTCATATTCTTAACCCTAACAACATGGTTTCTACATGGTGTTGCACTGTGTATACTCAAAAATTATTTAATCCTCAGGGATCACCTGTGCCAGTGCAAGAGAATAGAAACAAAGTCTTACCGTCTGCTGTTCAATGTGGCCCAGGACAATCTCGAGGGTGAGGTTGTTCACAACCATTGTATTGAAAGAAGGAGTGGTTTCTTGTCCCAGCTCACTCTTCCCTAGGATGTGTTCTGAAGCAGCTTTAAAGGCAGCAACAGTAGGGTCCTCATTGCTCACTAGGTGAATTTCTTTCAAATTACTCATCACCAGCATCCCTTGCAAATTAACCCGGATAGTCTCTACAATAATATTCGTACACAAATTCAGAGGAAACTGAAAAATCCCAGAGCTCAGGGCTGGAATTGCTACTGTCTTAATGTGAGTATTTTCGTAGATGACATAATTCAGAATACTTCCAATGGCCTTCTTCAGCTTTTCAACACATCCCTGTGTATCCCATAGCGTCCACCGAGGGCCAACAGCATGGATGATCTCTTTGCAGGGAAGCCTCCCTGCTCTTGTGACAGCTATCTTACCAGTTGGTACTTTACCATGTCTGGCAATGAACTCGTTGCTCTCTTCTTGGATTTCAAGTCCACCAGCTGTCACCAGGGCCAGGGCCAGGCCTCCTCCATGTAGAAGATCTTCATTGGCTGCATTCACCACAGCATCAACAGCATGTCTGGTGAGGTCATCTTTCCAGACCGATAACTCTAGCCCAGGAGCCAGCATTTTTTTAAACACTTGCAGAGATTTGCTGTTGCCTTCCTGAACTGGAGACACCAGGGTAGAGATGCAGCCAAACTTACTCTGGAGGACTTCACACAGCTGACTCTCATTAGGTTTTAGAATTTTGAATTGGTCATGGTTAATGGGAATGTGCCAACTATAGTTTTCTTCAAGAGCATCTGTCTCTGGAAAAGAAGAGAAGATTAAAAAAAATAATAATAAATAAATAAATAAAAAGAGCAGGGTTCCTTTGAAAAGGTTGTAATTCCACTTCATACCAGGAGACTGTGTTTCCTATTTGCCAAAGAGAGATGATCTTCATCTAGCACCCTTCGTGATTCTTCTTCTCAACTAAACATATAATCAGACCAAGGACATCTAAGAGTTTTCAATAGTAGGTCACCCATAAAGTGCATAGTCTTGTGCTTAGCACATAGTAAGTACTCCATAAGTGGTAGTTACTATGATACATTGAGGATGGTAGGAAAACTATGTATATGAGGGCTCATGAATTTTTAAATATATATATGAAAGTGGTGAGCTTGAAAAGACCCATGCTTGAAGAACGATCCAAGATGGCTGATCGCTAACATCTCGGGATTGCAACTCCCAGTGAAAGCGCAGAGAACGAGAGGACGCCACACTTTCAGACAAATTTTTGTCGCTCATGGACCAGAAGATTCCCAGTGGAGGAGCCCCACGGGTTGCCAGCACGACTCTTGTGGCTGGCACAGCGGTTTTGCCGGCACCTCAGTGCAGCAGCTCTTGGTGCAGAGTAAACGGGACTGGTTCCCCTTCTGACCGACGTTTGGAGCTCCAGGAAGGCAGAGTCGCCTATTACGGACTCAAGAAGGAAGCCAGACTGGAGATTCCCAGGCAGAAAAGCACCATCAGTTTTAACGCTGCTGTTTTGGCCGGTGCAGTGGGTTGCTCATATTTCAGCCCTGGGAATTAACAACTTGGACGTCCACTCAGAGACCTAATTTGAAAGTTGGTAATCACAAAAACGAAGGTGGATAAATTTACAATCATGGGAAGAAACCAGTGTAAAAAGGCTGAGAATACTCAAAATCAGAATGCCTCTCCCTCTAAAGAGGATCACAGTTCCTCATCAACAAGGAAACAGGCTTGATGGAGAACGAGTGCATCCCATTAACAGAATCAGGCTTCAGAAGATGGATAATAAGAAACTTCTGTGAGTTAAAAGAACATGTTGTAGCCCAATGCAAAGAAACTAAGAACTTTGAAAAAAGGTTTGACCAAATCCTAATGAGAATAGACAATTTAGAGAGGAATATAAGTGAATTAATGGAACTGAAGAATACAATATGGGAACTCCGAGAAGTATGCACAGGTTTAAACACTCGAATTGATCAAGCAAAAGAAAGGATATCAGAGATCAAAGACCAACTTAATGAAATAAAACGAGAAGACAAGATTAGAGAAAAAAGGATAAAAAGGAATGAGCAAAGTCTTCAAGAAATGTGGGACTATGTGAAAAGACCTAATTTATGTTTGATAGGTGTACCTGAATGCGACGGAGAGAATGAATCCAAGCTGGAAACTATTCTTCAGGATATTATTCAGGAAAATTTTCCTAACCTAGCAAAGCAGGACAATATTCAACCCCAGGTAATACAGAGAACACCACAAAGATATTCCTCCAGAAGAGCAACCCCAAGGCACATAATTGTTAGATTCACCAGGGTTGAAACAAAGGAGAAAATACTAAGGGCACCCAGAGAGAAAGGTCAGGTTACTCACAAAGGGAAGCCTATCAGACTTACAGCAGATCTCTCAGCAGAAACTCTACAAGCCAGAAGAGAGTGGGGGCCAATATTCAACATCCTCAAAGAACAGAACCTTCAGCCCAGAATTTCATATCCAGCCAAACTAAGCTTCACAACTGAAGGAAAAATAAAATCTTTTATGAACAAGCAAGTACTCAGAGATTTTATTACCACCAGGCCTGCTTTACAAGAGCTTCTGAAAGAAGCATTACACATAGAAAGAAACAACCAGTATTAGCCTTTCTAAAAATATACCAAAAAGTAAAGAAGAATTTACATCAATGAATGGATACAACAGCCAGTTAACATCAAATGGCAGTAATTCTAAATTTAAATCGACTAAATCCCGCAATCAAAAGATGCAGCCAAAACCCAACGGTATGCTACATCCAGACCCATTTCACATGCAAGGATACACAAAGACTCAAAACAAAGGGACGGAGAAAGATTTACCAACCAAATGGAGAGCAAAAATAAATAAATAAAAAGCAGGAGTTGCAATTCTCGCATCTGATAAAATAGATTTGAAAGCAACAAAGATATAGTGGTAAAAGGATCAATGCAACAATAAGAGCTAATGATCCTAACACCCAGATACATAGAAACTTAGACTCAATGAGACAGAAAATTAATAAGGATATCCAGACTCGAACTCAGATCCAGAACAAGTAAACTTAATAAATATTTATAGAGCTCTCCACTTTAAATACACAAAATATAAATTCTTGTCAATACCACATCACACCTACTCATAGGTTTAAATGAAATATTGATTGGCCATTATTAATACCCATTTTTTAGAATAAAGCAACATTTCCGTTCTCTATCCCTCTTTTTCTTCCTCTCCTTCACTCCCTTTTTTTCTTTCCTTTTCTCCAAAAAAAAAAAAAAAAGAATGTCCTCATTCAGTGACATAAACACATTAAAAAAAAAAAAAGACCCATGCTTAAGGCACAAGTGTTGGAAGGGACTTAATTATAAGCCAAAATATGTGGAGGTTTTATAACTTTTTTTCTTTTGTCAGCATCTAAGTTTGTATTTTCTTAAGAGCAGACCCTGAGACAAAGATTTGAATATAAGTAGTTTATTTGGGAGTTGATCCTAGGGCCTTGGGTGGGAACAGCAGGGTAGGAAAGTAAGACAAACGAAATGAAAAAAGCACGTATAACTAACTAGGCAGATGGAACTCAACTCCACTAGGAACAGTACAGGTCTTGTGCCTCAGGGTTATATCACTGGAGGAGTAGCAATTACAGAAGCTGGGATATTTATCCTCCTCCTCCTCCTCCTCCTCCTCTTCACTTCACTGGGAAACAGTGCAGATCTTGTGCCACAGGGTTATATAGTTGGAGGGGTAGTAATCACAGGAACTGGGATATTTGTCTTCCTCCTCCTCCTTCTCCTCCTCCTCCTCTGCCTTCTAGGCTCAAGCCATCCTCCCACCTCAGCCTCCTGAGTAGCTGGGACTACAGGCCCACAGCACTACACCCACACCACCGATCCCAGCTAATTTCCATATATATATATATATATATATATTTATTATTTTTTTTTTGTAGTGAAGGGGTTTCACCATATTGCTTAGGCTGGTCTCAAACTCCTGATTTCAAGCAATCTGCCCACCTAGGTGGCTCCAAAAAGGCCACCATGCCTGGCCTACTTAACTTCTATTGGTCACTGACTGAGGCAGTTCCCTGGTGGGTAGAAGTAGGAGAGACATTGGACCAGTGAATGAGTGGAGCACTGAAAATGTCTGCTATAGTAAATAATTCTTCATGATATTCCAGTTTCATGGCACAATTTTGGTGAAATTAAAACTAATTGACTAAAAATTATTTCCTGTATGTGGCAGACAAGAAGATGTGCTACTCAGATCTCCCTGCAATTGGCTACGAAGTGGAAAACACAGTTAGCTGACAGCCTCCAGCTGTGAGCCCCTCAGGGTTCATCTCAGCATTCAGCCAAGGTCATACTATTCTCAGGGCAGCCTCCATAAGTGGCTGAGAAAGGCCATTCATGCCCAGCATGGGACATCTCTAACGGTCAATCTCAGGCTTGCAGAGACTGTCAGGTTTTTATTACAGTCTGATGGCTAGTCTGCCCAGGCCAATTTCTTCTCTTTACCTTTCACAGTGAATTTTTTGCACTCCTAATTCCATCTCAGCTTCTGCTTTCTGGAGGACACATCTTGGGACACTGTATTTCATGTCTAAGACATTGTTGTTACAATGCCTCTGAGAAAGGGAAAACAATGCCAACTAAACTGGGGACTACCGTCAAATGATAGAAGGTACACCACCTTATTTCAGTGATGTTAAAATGTGAAAAAAAATGCATCCTCAAATAGATAAAATGTGATAATTACTTTTATTTTGCTTCAACTTTCATTTCTAATCTGAGTCTCCTAGAAAGACCTCTTGTGGCCTCAATTACCCAAACAAAGCTGCAATCGAGTAGTCAGGCTCTATTGGCCTAAGCTTTGGTTGAAAAATCTCCAACGGGTCACCCCTGGGAATAGGCAAGAACTATTTAGTTCGTATAGCCCTTGTTGAGCAAGGAGACAATCAGCTGGCCAGGTCATCTGGCCAATTTCAGTTGCAGGCTGTCCTCAAAAGAGTCTCACATTTATGGGCAGAGGAGAGGAATGGTGTGGGCCCTGAGAGAAATGCCTGCTGGTGTCACACCAACTCTGAAACATGTGTGGGGGTCCCCACGAGGGTCTGCAGTGATGCACCTGAGCACTTGTGGGGGAGATATTCTCTTTTTGTATTCCCCTTTCTCCACTGAGGAAAGATCTGAGCAGACTTTCTGAAACAAGAGTGAGAATGAGGTAATCCTACCTGATTTTTCATTGTAAGCTGCTGCTCCGGCACCCTGTGAAAAATGAGAATGGCTTTCTTAAAAATGGAAGTGGAATAAAGGTGGCATGACTATAGCTTACTGGTAACAGATACACTGCAGTAAACACAGTGCAACAGAAATCCTGCTCAAAGCACTGGGTTTGGGAGGGAGGGGGAAGGAGCATTTTTTTTTTTTTTTAATCTGTATGCTTGAAACACTTAAAATACTAAATGTGCCAGCAAACATGGACTCTATGCCATTTCCCTAGAGGCCGATGCATTTCTTTTTTTTTAATTTAATTTTTTTTTGAGACAAGGTCTCACTCTGTCACCCAGGGTGGAGAGCTGTGGTGCAATCACAGCTCACTCTGCAGCCTTGAACTCCTGGGCTGAAGTGATCCTCCCACCTCAGCCTCCTGAACAGCTGGGACTACAGGCATGCACCACCATGCCCAGCTAATTGTTTTTACTTTTTTAGAGATGAGAGGAGTCTTGCTGTGTTGCCAAGGCTGGTCTCGAACTACTGGCTTCAAGTAATCCATCCTTCTGGCTTCAGCTTCCGTAGTAACTGGGATTATAGGCACCAGCCACTGTCAGTGCATCTCATTCTAATTCAGAATGAGATAAGGGTTAGAGATTAATACCTTAAAAGACTCAAAAGTCAAAAACCAAAATGACCCCAAACTCTCAGATAGACTCCAATCTCCAAAGGCTCATGGGTTTTCTTCATCTCCCCAGAAGATCTGGGGACATGAGCCTCATTAGCTCTGTCTCTCATCAACCAGCAAGGATCCACTTTCAATTGCCTTTGTCATGGCACAAGCCTTAATGTGGAATTTTCAAGTTTAGCAAGTGAGGTACCTTTCTCTATTATTTTCATTCATAATCTATTACTCTCGTTACCCCAACCTGAAAAGGAAGAATCACTGAATGAGCTAAGATAATTAAAATGATTCTGAAAAATTATCCAGCCTCAATTTGACACTATTGATTAGATTAGCATATTCTTGATTCCCCATTTCCCAAGAAGGGAGAAAGGAGAAAACTTTATTGGGCTATTAAAAGCAGGTGAGGATGTCAGGTGTTAGTGAACACCCCAGATTTATTGCTGTTATAGAAATAATTATTCATGTACCGATCAAAGTTCATGATGTATACACATTTATGCTTTTTACCATGGAAAAGTCCATCCTTCAGGTCCCCGGGAGAGTCTTTAAGTGTTTATTCTCTTTTGCGCTTCAAAGCATAGACTGTAGTTTCCAGATAATGGTGGTCCACTTCTAGGAATGAATTAGAAAAGATGCAATAGGCATTAGCCAGAATCTTAGGCAATTTGGTACAATAGGCATTAGCCAGAATCTTAGGCAATTTGGTAAGAATATACGGCAGGGGACTGAACATGATCTCTGATCTTGGACAGTTCTTCATTTCCTTGATAACCATGTACACGTTGTTTTGCTGTTGTTGTTACTGCTTGCCTTTTATCCTGTCCAAGAGAGGTTCCAATTGAAATCACAATGGCAGTTCAGAGAAGGGAAAATGCTCTATGGCCTGGAATAGGGAAAGCTTTATGGAGGAGGTGAGACTAGAGCACAGCCTTAAAGGATGCAGTAAGATTTTACATATTTAGCAGAAGAGGATGAGCCGGGCGTGGTAGCTCACATCTGTAATCCTAGCACTTTGGGAGGCTGAGGTGGGCCGATCACTTGAGGTCAGGAGTTCAAGACCAGCCTGACCAATATGGAGAAACCCTGTCTCTACTAAAAATACAAAAAATTACCCTGGTGTGGTGGCGCATGCCTGTAATCCTAACTACTCAGGAGGCTGAGGCAGGAGAATTGCTTGAAACTGGGAGGCGGAGGTTGCGGTGAGCCAAGATGGCACCATTGCACTCTTGTTGCCTGGGCAACAAGAGGGAAACTCCATCTCAAAAGAAACAAAAAGAAAACAAAAACAAACCCCAAAACAACAAGAACAAAAATAGGATGATAACAGAGTGGTGAGACTGAGAACAGCACAGTGAGGAAGACCCGGGGTTATGAGTGAGTGAAGCACCCTGGCGAGGGTTTGAAGAAAGAGGAAATTCCACTTGTGCCTGTGAGGGGTGTGTATTTTGAATTTGTGATAAATATCCTTGACCTAGTGATGGGGCAAATCTGGTTAAAAGTTAGAAACTCCAGGAAAAAAAATACTTTTTAATGGGTTTCCATCTACTAGGTAGGAATTAAATATTATGAATTTTTAGAAGAGTAATGATGAAAATGCATAAAGATAAAAGTGGCCCACACTTGTTGCTATCCTTAGGCCTCTAAATAATTTCTAATGTCTTTGCAACAGAAAGATAAGCATCAGAGTATACTATTCTTACGCATCTAGGGAAAGCAGCAGATCCAGTACGATCCTAAAATGCAAAGACGAGATGCATTTTCTGCCTCCAGAGGGCACTGCTGTTTTCAAAAAAGAAGGATGACTTCATCTGCTTTGACCATGGGCTTTTGCTTTAAATGCTGCACCTGTTTCTGTTTTCAGGCCAGGTTTTACAGGCCTATGGATAGCCAAACAAGGAGCATAGTGCCCAAACATTCCGTCTCTTGCATTTTAAAAATGGCGATAACCACAAAAGCCTTGCCAGCTTTCCATCACTGCTTCCTACTGTGTCTCCTTCTCTTCAAAAGCAGCCAAACTTCTGGAATGAGTAGTGGACTCTCCTCCTGCCTGCCTGCCCACTCAGCCTCCTAGAACCTGGTTCCCCGCCTCATCCCTAGCACTCTTTTGAAACTGCCAGTGGCCAGCCATGGTGGCTCACACCTGTAATCCCAACACTTTGGGAGGCAGAGGCAGAAGGATTGCTTGAGCTCAGGAGTTCGAGACCAGCCTGAGCAACATGGCAAGACCTCATCTCTACTAAAAATCCAGAAAGTTAGCTGCGCATGTTAGCACATGCCTATAGTCCCAGCTACTTGGGAGGCTGAGGTGGGAGGATCACTTGGTGGAAAGTTCAGGCTGCAGTGAGCTGTGGTCACGCCACTGCACTCCAGCCTGGGCAACAGGAATGAGACCCTATCTCAAGAAAACAGAGAGAAACTGCTCAGCAGAATTCCCCATGTGGTTAACACCAGTGGACTATCTTTGTCCATCTTTACTGAACCACTTTCTATAGAATCTCACTTTTTCATTCCTGAAATTCTGCTTTCTTGGCTTCTCCTATGCCTTCGTCCCTTGGTTCTTTTATTACTCTTCACTTTGCATTTACAGGCTTTTTCCTTGTGTTCACTTCCACCATCCACCCCTTAATTGTTTGCCCCAGGATTCTGTCTAAGACATTTTTCATCTCATTCTACATACTCTCCAGGATTGATCTCATCCACTCCCATGGCTTCAACTCACCAACTGCAAATATGACTCTTGTATCTGTATTTCTAGGCCATGGCTCTCCTGAACCTCATTTTTCAACTCCACCTGAAGGTCCCACAGTCCCCTCAAAAAACACCTGCAAAAGGGCACCTCTTATCTCCTGGTCCCCAATTCTCCATCCCACCCCCACCAAATCCATACTTTATCTCCTGGATTCTGCAGCTCGGTACATGATATACCATTTATGCACTCAAATCAGAAATCTAGGAACTTTTCCCAAGTCTTTTTTGTTTCATATCTAACTCATCTCTGGGACCTGACAACCTAAATCACTTTCAAATATGCCCCTACCTTCCTTACCCACTGACACTGCTTCACTTCAGGGTCTCAGCACCTTTTGCCTGAGGTGTGGCAATATACTCTTTGAAAACATTTAAATGTACCTAATTTTACATTTTATTGTTTGAATAGGTATTACATGTAGACGATTCAAATTTAGAAAGTGTAAAAGGTTTCCTCCTATCTCTCTCACTAAATTCCCTGTCCAGAGTCAATCAGTGCTTCTCCTGTATTCTTCCAGAGTCATTTTCACACAAAAGGTAGCAGCTTATGCACACACTTCTGCATCTTATCTTTCCCACTTAATGCATCCTAGAGATCTTTTCATGTTAGCACATAGAGAGCTTCTTCATTTTTCCCACTGCTCATTGTATTCTGCTGTGTAGATATACTATTATTAAACTGCTAGTCCCCCTCTTTGTGGACATCAAAGAGTTCCCTATCTTTTGCTATTGTAAACAAGGCTGCAAAGAACATCTTTGTACACAGATCACTTCACACAGGGGCTAATATATCAATGGGACAAATTCCTAGAAGTGGAACTCCAGAACCAAAAAGTATATGCAGTTGTAATTCTGACAGTACTGCCAAATTGTTCACAGTACCAACTGACCCGTTTCCAGTCTTACCAGCCATGTGCAAAAACCTTATCTCAGGCCTGTCTGCCGCCACTCATCCCTGTTTTTAAATGTGTCCTCCACACCCTCGTCAGCACCACATTTGTAAAATGCAAATCTGGCATGTCATTCTCTTGCTTCCCCTGCTTACAACCCTACAATTAGTCTTCACTGCTCTTCAAGGCCTTTCACCCATCTAAACCTGTGTTGTCCAAGGTATACTATCAGCCTCATGAAGCTACTGAGGCTACATGTGACCAGTCTGAATCGAGATGTGATGTAAGGGTAAGAAAAACACTGGGTTGCAAAGACACACTATGATAAAAAGAATGTAAAAATCTCATTACATGCTGAAATGATTAAGTTTTGGATAAATCAAGTTAAATAACATAATTAAAATTAATTTTATCTGTTTACCCTTTAAAAAATATGGCTGCAAAAAGGTTAGAATGCACATACTGGCTCCCATTGTGTTTCTGTTGGACAGTGGCCACCTAGGAAGGCCCTCTGTCCCTCATCCCCTCACCCATCTCCTCTCCTCCCAGGCCCCAGGCCCCTTCTGTGCTTCAGACCACAGTGGTCCCTGAGCCTGGGGTGCTTTCCCCGCCAATCCTGGGGTGCTTTCACCCCCACACTCTTATTAAGATTCTGCTTGAAACTTCCTGTTGGAGACCTTGAAGAGGTTTTGCTTCTTGGTTCACAGGCCCGCCTCCCCTCACCAGCCCTTGACATCAGGGCCTTGCTCTGCTCTTTGGGCAGCAAGAAACAATTCAGTGCTGTGGGTTAAATCAAGGAATGGAGGAGAAAAGCGCCCAGGAGCGCGTCTAAAGCGTAGAGCTGGAGGGAGGGAATGGTTAACAGGTCACAATTACCATATGAACACATTTACATTTTCAAAAATGGGTAAGTTTAGCTTGGATTCAGAATGTGAATTACTTTTCAGCATCAAGTAACAGTGATAACAGCAGTAAGAGTTACGAAGAATAAGAACCAGAGGAGGAACTTACTTTCTTTGCATAGTCTACTCACAAGGGAGGCCTGGCCCCGGGACCCCGGTCTGCGCTCCCTTCTCCTCCACCCCGCCCCCGAGCCTGCAGGAGAGGGGACCCCGAGGGGCCAGGGGCACCGGACCCACTTACCGGGCAGACGGCTCACTCGCCGCGGCGCGGACTTCACAGGGAGGAGGGGGAAGCGGCTCTGCCGGGAACAGGGAGGGACCTCCAGGGAAGCGAAACTGAAACTTTGCGTCCAGTCCGCGGTGCGGGCGGCGCCTTTACCTCAGTCGGGGCCCAGCTGCGTCCGGGAGCCCCCGCGCCCTCCCGACGTGCAGAACCATGGCCTTCAACCTGCGCCCGCCGTCCCCGCTCCTCGTGCGGGTGTCCGAGTCCGGCCCCCGGGTACGAAGGAAGCTGGAGAGCTACTTCCAGAGCCAGCGGCACTCGGACGGCGGGGAGTGCAACGTTCGGCCCCGGGAACACGCCGCCCCGGGCACCTTCCAGGTGGAGTTCAGTGAAAGGGCAGGTGAGCTGCGGGAGGCCGGGCTGCGAAAGCCGTCTCTGGGGGCCAGGCCCGGGTCTCCAGGCGGGCCCAGTTCTAGCTGATCTAGGGGAGAGGGCGGGAGAAAGTATGGTGGCACTGTGCGGTGGGGGACAGGGACGGGCCCCGCTGCCAAGAGACTCACTGAGACTGTGGACGCTCGGTGGAGGATAGGGCCTCACGTGTGCCCGGTGCGGGTCTGGCTGATCGCGCCTTAGTGTGGATGCTTTCCATATCCTCAACCTAACTTAATTTCTCAGCTGGCATCTTCCTTCCCCCAGATGCCTGCCAGCCGCTGTCCTTGTCATTCAGGGATTCCACTTTTATTTTATTTCATATTTTTTTTGGGGGGGCTCTAGTACTTGCCAGGGATTCCACTTTTATGTTTTAAATAATGGGTCCCATTGTTCCATCCATGAACAAAAGGATGTTCCATTTTGTATTTTTGAGGATTACAAAAGTGATATATGCTCACTACAGAAAAGGGAAAAGAATAAAAAAAAAAAAAAAAGAAAGAAACCAGGAGATAAACAGTGTGACCATTTGGTGTATTTCCCTCTTGCCCTTTATTACAAATGTCAGCAAACACGTGTATTTATAAAATTCGGAGTCTGCACTCTTGATTCCTGCTGTTGTCACTTTCCTGTATAATGAGTATTGAAATAGGAGGCTGGGCCAGGTAGGGTGGCTCACGCCTGTAATCTCAGCACTTTGGGAGGCTAAGGTTGGTGGATCACCTGAGGCCAGGAGTTCCAGACCAACCTGGCCAATATGGCGAAACTCTGTCTCTACTCATAATACAAAAATTAGCTGGATGTGGTGGTGCTCACCTGTAGCCACAGCTACTCCGGAGGCTGAGGCAGGAGAATTGCTTGAAATCAGGAGGCAGAGGTTGCGGTGAGATGAGATGACAACATTGCACTCCAGCCTGGGTGACAGAGTGGGACTCCATCTCAGGAAGGAAGGAAGGAAAGAAGGAAAGGAAGGGGGGGGAGGGAGGGAGGGAGGAAAGGAGAGACTGGAGATAGGATTCAGAAACATGACTTTTAATGAGTGGACAATGTTCCATTGTCATTAAGCCAAGCTTAGTCGGCACACTTTTGAGCTCTGAATAGTTCCTCCACTTCCTCCATCGCCAACCCACCACTCCAGGATGCAGGTAGCAGCCTTACTGGGAGGTGCTGGGACAGGATACAGACACAGGAATGAGGGGATTACTTGAAATCTCTTCAATTTTTATGTGTGTATATGTGTGTGTTTAATGTCTCCGCTGAAGCTAAGGAGAGAGTATTGAAAAAAGGAGAGCACCAAATGCTTGTTGATGACAAACCTATGCCCATTTTGCTGGTACTCACTGAAAACTCAATAAAGAAGAACACAAGACCCCAAATTTCTTCGCTGCCACAGTCACAAGCAGAAACACTGTCTGGTGATACACATCAAAATGAAGGACGGACTTCTAAAGCTGTGGATTCCTGTCTCCAAAAGGTGAGTATTGAAAGAAGGAGCTGACTGTCCCTGCGCTTCCTCTCCAGTCACCAGCCTCATGTGTTATTGGTCCAACACCCACATGGGCACATACATGGGAGCCAGGCATTGTTTTAGGCACTGGACACAGAGATGAAGACAACAGACAAGATCCCTGCTCTCAGGCAGCTTATGTTAGGGGGAGGGCATGCACAGAAAGACAGTAGGCAAGTAAATAAAACCATTTTATTTCATCCTGGCCAATATGGTGAAACTCTGTCTCTACTAAAAATACAAAAATATTAGCTGGGTGTAGTGGCACACACCTGTAGTCCCAGCTACTTGGGAGGCTGAGGCAGGAGAATTGCTTGAACCCAGGAGGGTTCAAGAGCTGACATTGCCCCACTGCACTACAGCCTGAGCAACAGTGCGACTCTGATTCAAAAAAAAATAAAATAAAATAAAAAATCCCCATTTTATTTATTTGGAGAGAAACAGGGCCAGGGCAAGTAAGGGGAAGATGGGGGTAGTGTTACTTATTGTTTTTTTCCCCCGAGACAGAGTCTCACTTTGTCACCCAGGCTGGAGTACAGTGGCACAATCATGGTCCACTGCATCCCTGACCTCCTGGGCTCAAGCAATCTGCCCACTTTGGCCTTCCAAAGTGCTGGGATTACAGTCATGAATTACCGTGCGTGGCCAGTGCTACTTCTAACCAGAAGTCAGAGACAACTTGACTGAGGAGGTGACATTTGGCCTGAAACTTAAATGAAGACAAGATTCATTCAAAAATAGATATCGACTGCCTACTGTGTTTCGGGCACTGTTACAGGAGCTGGGGAGGCAGCCAGGAACATGGCAGACTCTGCTTCCAGGGACAGCACCTTCTAGTGAGAGAAACAGACAATATTAGTAACCAAATAGACATGTAATGAAACGTCTGCCAGTCATACCTGCTAGGAAGACGAATAAGAAGAATAAGTGACAGAAGTGACAGAACCACCATTTAAAATAGGATGTCTGGAAAAACCTCAAGTGAGGTGACATCTCTACCTAAGCAGATTTCTCAGGGGGAAGTGTCCTATAGATAAGCACAGGTGCAAAGGCCCCAAGAGCCAACATTCTGAGGCCCAGAAACTTGAAGGAAGCCAGTGGCAGGGAGGGCGAGGAGCAAGGGAGAGAGGTCCTAGGATTCGGCAAGTTACCTGGAAGACATACAGGCCTTTGGGGCTGAGGGTAAGGACTTTGGCTTTTTAACTTAAAATGTTAGGGGATTCATCAGATAGTTTTGAGCCAGGAGAGAGGGCGATCTGGTTTATATTTCTAAAGGGTCACTCTGGCTGCTGTTGGAAATCTGAAAGTAGGAACGAGCTAGAATGGAAAGTTAGAGCCCAGTCAGGAGGGGTTGCAGTGCGCCAGGTGAAAGATGACAATGGTGTGGACTCTGGGTGGTCCTAATGGAGGTGTGAGAAATGGCTGGATTAAGGAAAAATTTTGAAGATCTGGAGGAAGGATCTTACATGCCAAGTCCTTAAGGGGGAACAAAACATTAGAAATTTTATTTTTTATATTACGCTCAATTTGTCTCTGTCCTTTTTATCTTAATCTGGCATGTCTTATATTTGAGCATCTAAAGGCCAGGGTTTAGAAGGGCCCAGCAACTTTGCATGCAGGTGGGTGTTTAGTTGAAAAAAGAAAAAAGGAAGAGTTAAGAAGAGAAAAAACAGTAATAAGAAAGCCCTTTCCTCACTTTTATGGCTCCCTTCCAAGCTCACAGACTTTTTTCAGGGCCACAACAACTTACCCAGCAAGCACAGATGCCTTCCCTCGACTGCTGTTCCCAAGATCAAACAGATAGTGGAAGTTGTAGAACACAGATATCTTGGCCATGGAGCTTTTAGAAATGCTCATGCCCAGGCCCCGCTGCAGACAGTTAACATCAGAATCTCTAGGGATGCACTTGGGCTTTGGCTGTTTTGTTTTTCCCTGAACTCGCCAGGTGATTATTATATCCAGACAGGGCTTAGAACCTCTGGGATGTAGCATGCTGCATCCTCTAAAAAGGATTGAGGCCAGACGCAGTGGCTCACGCCTGTAATCCCAGCACTTTGGGAGGCCGAGGTGAGTGGATCAACTGAGGTTGGGAGTTTGAGAACAGCCTGACCAACATGGAGAAAATTCGTCTCTACTAAAAGTACAAAAAGTAGACAGGTATGGTGGCGCATGCCTGTAATCCCAGATACATAGGAAGCCGAGGCAGGAGAATTGCTTAAAGCCAGGAGGTGAAAGTTGCAGTGAGCTGAGATCATGCCATTGCACTCTAGCCTGGCAACACGAGCGAAACTCAAAAAATAAACTAAATAAATAAATAAATAAATTAATTAATTAATTAAATGGATTTGAAAGAAGTTGCCCCCTGCTTAGGGAAGATGTAGTGGTTGTTTCTCTAGTCTCTAGGCATTCTTCTGAAGAAAAGACTGTAGGCCTGCATGCTGAGAGGTTTTATTTGTTCTTGTTCCTTTTAAAATTTCAGATCTTTCTTACTGTAACAGCTGACCTGAACTGTAACCTGTTCTCCAAAGAGCAGAGGGCATACATAACCACACTGTGCCCTAATGTCAAAAAAATGGAAGGTCCTAATGGAATTGAGAAGGTATATGGTGACTTTCAAGACATTGAAAAAATACATCAATTTTTGAGTGAGCAGTTCCTGGAAAGTGAGTGGAAACAGGAATTTTCCCCTACAGTGACAGAGAGGAAGCCACTCAGTCAGCAGGACAGGGACAGCTGCAGTTCTCCTTCCGAACCCAAAACCAAGGCAGAAGAAAAAAGCAACTGTTTTGAAGTTCCCTTGCCTTACTTTGAATACTTCAAATTTATCTGTCCCGATAAAATCAACTCAATAAAGATAAAATTTGGTGTAAACATTAAAATCCAGGAGAGTTCTCCAAATATGGTCTGTTTAGATTTCACCACAGATCAATCAGATGACCTAGAAGCAGCCCGTGAGTCTTTTGCTAGTGAATTTCAGAAGAATACAGAACCTCTGAAGCAAGAATGTGTCTCTTTAGCAGACAGTAAGCAGGCAAATCAAATCAAACAGAAATTGAATCACCTGTTTACAAAGCTCCTTATAAAGGAGAAAGGAAGAGAATTAACTCTCCTTGGGACCCAAGATGACATTTCAGCTGCCAAACAAAAGATCTCTGAAGTTCTTGTCAAGGCACCTGTGAAACTATTGACTGCCAGTTGGATGACGAATGGAATTGAAGTCGATAGTGCTCGCTATAAGCTTTTAGAAGCTGAATTACTACAGGAGATAACAGAGATCGAAAAAAGGTATGACACTTGCATCAAGGTTTTTGAGAAAGGTCAAAAAACCTGCATTCTGTTTGAACCCAAGGACAAGCAGGTAGATCTATCTGTGCATGCTTATGCAAGTTTCATCGATGCCTTTCAGCATGCCTCATGTCAGCTGATGAGAGAAGTTCTTTTACTGAAGTCTTTGGGCAAGGAGAGAAAGCACTTACATCAGACCGAGTTTGCTGATGACTTTAGAAAAAGACATCCAAATGTACACTTTGTGCTAAATAAGGAGTCAATGACTTTGATTGGTTTGCCAAATCACCTTGCAGAGGTGAAGCAGTATGTTCTAAGAGGAGGAGGAACGGCTTCATTGTCTGGAGAGAAACTGAATGAGGATCGTGTAACACCGATGGACATTGATAGTGATGATTCCAAAGCAGCTTCTCTGCCACTCAAGGGCTCTGTGAGTTCTGAGGCCTTTGAAGTGGACAAGAAGGAAAATGGCTTCTGTGTCATCTGTATGGACACCATTAGTAACAAAAAAGTGCTACCAAAGTGCAAGCATGAATTCTGCACTCCTTGTATCGACAAAGCCATGGAATATAAGCCAATCTGTCCCACATGTCAGACTTCCTATGGTGTTCAGAAAGGAAATCAGCCAGATGGAAGCATGGTTGTCCGTGTCTCAAGAGAGTCACTTCCAGGTTATGATTCCTGCGGCACCATTGAGATTAATTATAACATGAAAGGAGGCAAACAAACAGTAAGTATTTCTGAGCTCCATGGTTTCTTGCCACTATGTTATGATTACTAGAGCAAAAGAGACTGTCCTATTGCCTATCAGACAGTAGATTTCCCAAGGAATTATCTCCACGGTCATACACAAGGGACTGAAATAGTTAAAGGTCACAGAGTTTGCTGATGACTCAAATAGCTTTTTGTCTGTTTCTGAAGACAGAGAAAGGGTGGGTGGAGATTATATCTTGAGTTGGCGCGGGGGTGAGGAAGGTGGACAGTGTTCCCAGCATGAATTCAAGGAAAGAGGAGAAATATGAGTTATTGGGAATATGAGCAAAACTTCAATACTTTTCTTGCTTTTGATTTGCTTTATCTACAAATGAACACATCTACACATACAGAAAAAGTTAGACAGCGTGCTATTTTCACATGACATTTTCTTGTTCTCACACAGAAGGAGCACCCAAACCCAGGAAAGATCTACCCTGGAGTACATCGAACTGCATACTTGCCTGATAATAAGGAAGGGAGGAAGGTTTTGGAACTGCTTCGTAGGGCCTTTGAGCAAAAGCTGATTTTTACAGTGGGGAACTCTCGAGCATTAGGAATCTCAGATGTCATCACTTGGAATGATATTCACCACAAAACATCCAAGTTTGGAGGACCAGAAAGGTGAGAGCCTTCTGGGATGTAACAGCTGCTCAACAGAGTATAGGGATTATGAAATATGACAATTTCTGGATGTGGATATAAGGAGAATCTATAGCAGTGATATTGGGTATAGTAAAGTATTTTGAGAGATGCTAATTGGGGATGATAATTTCAAAGACAGAAAGATTGGGCCCCATTGATTTTCACCCTGCCAACTATAAAGTATTATGGAGTTATTTAAATTTTGCACCAAAGGGCAGGGGGGTTTAAAATCCAAGTTGAATAGTATATATGCTGATTTAATTTGAGGCTTCATGTCCATTTGAAGACTAGCTCCTAGGAATGTTACTTAGCTTTCTTTTAAGGTCACCTTTCTTTTTCCCCTGTTCCTCCACCAGTCCACAGAGAACCTGAAATCACTTGGTAATAATATTCTAGGAAAAAGTCTAAGTTTTGAGGAGACGATTAGTAGAAACTGTGTTATAGGAAATCCAGTTGTTCTTTATGAAACCCAAATAGTATTCCTCCGATCCTTGGTACTAAAGAAAAAATATATATATACACCCTGAGACTTTTTCAAAACTTTAAATTTGAAAATCCTACTAGCATGTGATTACAATGCCCCATGAAACACAGTATATTATTATATCTTTATGAGAGTCACTACTTGCCATAAACTGAATTTTTTTTTTTTTTTTTGAGACAGAGTTTTGCTGTTGTTACCCAGACTGGAGTGCAATGGCAGGATCTCGGCTCACCACAACCTCTGCCTCCTGGGTTCAAGCAATTCTCCTGCCTCAGCCTCCTGAGTAGCTGGGACTACAGGCATGCACCACCATGCCCAGCTAATTTTTGTATTTTTAGTAGAGACGGGGTTTCACCTTGTTGACCAGGATGGCCTCGATCTCTTGACCTCATGATCCACCTGCCTCAGCCTCCCAAAGTGCTGCGATTATAGGCGTGAGCCACTGGGCCCGGCCAAACTGAAAAATTTTCAGAATTAACATAGACATGAAGCCTCAAATTAAATCAACACATTTACCATTCATCTTGGATTCTAAACCCCTTTGCCCTTTGATGCGAAATGTAGTAGCTACATCACATTAATGCTTAGTAGTTGTCAGGGTAGAAGCCAGGTTGAAAGGCAGATGTTGGCCAGACAGCTAGACTCACTTGCCAGCTAAATGACTCACATGTACAAACTTCAAAGTCATGATACGTCATCCACCTTCAGGATTACTTGTGCATGTTTGCGACACTTTATATTAAATCCTTAAATGCTGAATATCTATTGCACATATCAGAACCATTTGTGGTGACACTAAAGGAATTTTTCTTTCTCCAGATATGGCTATCCTGATCCTTCTTACCTGAAACGCGTCCAAGAGGAGCTGAAAGCCAAAGGAATTGAGTAAGAAAACTGGTGGAAGATGTCTTAAATCAGCCTTTCAAAAAATATCTGTTTTAGGAGGCTGATTTAATGCCGATCTAAATCCTTATGCAGAAAAAACTTTGAAATTTTCAAGAAATGATTCGTATGAGAATAAGAATCTGCTAGTTTGTCATTTTGGGAATGATACTTTTTATGGAAGACAAAAGCCCCCCCCAAATCTGTGTAAAATCTGCTGCACAGGTGTCATGCCTCTTGTGTCATCACTGGGGTTAGAGGTGGGTCCGAAATAATCTTCTATGTCCTTCAGTTGGAGTATCACATGCCAATTGATCCCTTTTTCATTGCCATCTCTGAGGTGCTCCTTTAGTTTTTTTTTTGTTTGTTTTCCCCTTCATACCTGTGAAAGTGAAATTCTATTATAAATGGTGGCAGGGGGAAATGTTTGGTTGCAGAAAATCAAAGACCCATATTCCCCTTTCTTCCTCATGGCAAGAAAAGTGGCCATGAGTAGAGACTGGGAAAGCACTGGTAATAAATGGAATAAGGCCATTATAATTATTATTTTTTCGAGATGGAGTCTCGCTCTGTCACCCAGGCTGGAGTGCAGTGCTGTGATCTTGACTCACTGCAACCTCTGCTTCCTGGGTTCAAGCAATTCTCCTGCCTCAGCCTCTCGAGTATCTAGGATTACAGATGTGTGCCACCACACCTGGCTAGTTTTTTGTATTTTTAGTAGAGACAGGATTTGCTATGTTGATCAGGCTGATTTCAAACTCTCGAACTCAAATGATCCTCCTGCCTCGGCCTCCCAAAGTACTGGGATTATAGGCATAAGCCACCACACTCACCCAAGACTATCATTTTTAATGACAAAGAGCCTAGTCTATAGTTGGTGCCTGTCTTAGTCTGTTTGTGTTGCTATAAAAGAACCCCCAAGACTGGGTAATTTATAAAGGAAAAGGATTTATTTGGCTCTCAATTCTGCTGGCTAGAAAGTTGGGCATCTGGTGAAAGCCTCAGGCTGCTTCCATTCACAGCAAAGGCAAAGGGCAGCCGGTATGTGCAGAAATCACGTGGCAGAGAGGAAGTGAGAGAGAGGTGCAAGCGAGGTGCCAGGCTTTTTTTAAACAACCAGTTCTTCAGGAACTAAGAGTGAGAACTCAGTCACACCCCTGAGAATAGCACCAAATCATTCACGCGGATCTGCCCCCAAGACCCAGACCCCTCCCATTAGGCTTCACCTCCAACACTGAGGATCAGATTTCAACATGGGATTTGGAAGAGGTCAAACAAACCAAACTACAGCAGTGTTTCATAAAGTTGTGTTGCCTGACTCAGGCAACTAGTAAACCAGCAGAGGGATATTTGCCTCCTAACTCTCTGGCAGAGGCAGGAGTAAGGAAATCGTTTCTAGAGTCCTCACTACTAATTTGGAAAACTGAGCTTCTTTCTTTCATTGCTTTTTTCCTTAAGAAACAAGGCCTTACTTATATTGCCCTGTCTCTTAAGGGAAAACATCAAGACCGGACTTGAACACCTGGGCTTGTCATCCTCCCACCTCAGCCTCTCGAACAGCTGGGATTATAGGCACGTGCCACCGTGCCTGGCTTGAGCCTGGACTCTGACCAGGCCCTTCACTTGAGCCTTTGCTTTCTGTTCCTTGCCCTGCCACAGTAATAGTACAAATTTCTGAACATTGTTTTTCTCTAGATATTTTTGTACTTTTGAGTATACTCCACTTCCAAGTGTTTTTTGTTTATTTTGTTGTTGTTCTGAGACAGGGTCTCACTGTGTCCCCCAGGATGGAGTGCAGTGGCACAATCCCAGCTCACTGCAGCCTCAACCTCATGGGGCCCAGTGATGCTCCCATCTTAGCCTCTCAAGTAGCTGGGACCACAGGCACGCACCACCATGCCTGGCTTTTTTTTTTGCTAGAGATGGGGTCTCCCTGTGTTGTCCAGGCTGGTCTAAAACTCCTGGGCTCAAGGGATCCTCCTGCCTTGAGCTCCCAAAGTGTTGGGATTACAGACATGAATAACCATGCCCAGGTTACTTCCAAGCTTAACAGAGAAAATAAACTTGCTCTAGTTTCCATCTCTATCATTTTTATAATAACTGTAGCCCACATTCTGGTAATTTTTTATCCCTTTACTAAGTCCCACCAATTCATGTTTTCCCCCTTAAAATCTTTCTCGCTGATACTCTCTCTGGACAGAAAAAAGGTGAAATAAGCCTACTGTAATGAATATATGACTTATCAAATTTTATTTTTAAACGGTTCTTCAAGTCAGATTAAAGTAATAAAAGCAAATTATGTGATTATCCATGGCCCAGCCTCTCTCCAAAAACGGTAAACAAGATGTCTTCTTCTTTTCCCAAAGATACACATACACATGTACAAGTTTTTTTGTCAGATAAATTTACCCTGTCTTAAATAGCTAATATTTAGTGAGTACTTATTTTGTCCCCTTTAAAAGAGCTTTATATCCATGTGATTGATACCATTCAAATTCTTACTTTATAACTGAGAAAACTGGTGCACAGAGAGGATAAGCAACTTGCCAAAGGTCACACAGTTAATAAGTGGAAATGCTGGGATATGAACCAGGTAGTCTCCCCACCATAGCTCTGCCACCCAGAGCTGTACTGTCTCCCATGAGGGTACTTCTCCATGGAGCAGGCTGAGGCGATCCCTTTGCTCTGGGCTCTCTGAGAAATGGATTCCCACACAGTACTCGAAGCAAATCTCCCCAGAGGAAATCCTATTTGAAGAACGTAAAAACTCTGAATCTTTTTCTTTGTCCAGAGAGTTGATGAAGCTTAAGCTAAATGATACATGTCTTTTTAAAAAATTAGATAATAAATGTAGTTTTTGGTGATTCATTAAATTCTTTACCATTATGGTTATTTTCTAGCTATTCATCTTTCAGCTAAATTTGTTCCAAAGAAGCAAAAGTTTGGTTTCTGCTAAGTTCCGGATGGGAGATTGCACTGTGTATGACGTGCAGGCTTCATGGTGTGGGTGATTGGAGAGCATTCGGGTTACTGCTTTTACTCTTTGGAAGGTGTTATCATCTGTATCTGCTTTAAATAAAGTTAAAGATTTGGAAAAAATTGTGTTCTTTCCCTCACTTCTTTTTTTTTTGCCCCTTAGGTTGAGATTCTGGGTGTTTCTTACAAAACATACGGGATACAGTTGTATAACATGTGCATGGAGGTCTTTGGTTGATTTTGTGTGTAGCTGCTTCCTAAATATTACCACAGTACAACTTAACTACTCTTGACTTCACTGCTGTTACTTTTGGCTGTGAAAAATCACATTTCTCAATATTTTTTCCTTAAAACACATAGGTTATAAAGATAAAAGTAGGCTGCAGATTTCTTCTCTTCTCTTCTAGAGAAAGCATATGTAATACCCGATCAAACTATACGTGCCCCCTCCTTGCTTCTAGAGGTTCTGTTTCACCTCTCCAACATTGGTGCTGAATTACCCAGACAGCTCATTGAACACTATTAGATCAGCAGCACCCTCCTCTCCAAAGAAAAAATAAAATAAAAATACTGACATATTTGATGCTTCCCTGAAAATAGCATCAAAGTAGTCATTAAGGGAAAATTAAGATCTTTATTGGACTTCCTTATGCTTAATAGTTTAGTATTGACAAAAATTAGCCAGGCATGGTGATGCACATCTGTAATCCCAGCTACTCGGGAGGCTGAGGCATGAGAATCGCTTGCACCCGGGAGGCAGAGGTTGCAGTGATCTGGGATCATGCCACTGCACTCCAGCCTGGGCTACAGAGCAAGACTCCATCTCAAAAAAAAAAAAATTTTTTTTTTTAGGACTGTTTTTGGTTTGATTTCCATATGGAAATTAGGCACTATTTCCTTTTTTATTGATTGGGTCATTTTTATGGATCAGATCTAAAACATACAGCTTGAGACAAAGATTAAGATATTAATAATTTTGGAAGTCCAAGCCCAAGGACAGACAGACAAGCGAGGCAAAGTAAGATGTAATGCAATGCAGTGCTAGTAATCACCCTGGTTACTGCTTTACAGTGAGCCTGATGCTGCTGGTCTGGGAATTACATTTAGAGATCCACTGGCCTAGAAAATAAGAGTCTAAACTAAGCAGCATGAACATTAGAGATTTCTCATGTCCCTTTGCATACCTTCCATTCCTTCCTCACCACCAAGTCCCTAGGGTTCAGTCACAGTCTACAAGATTTTCCAAAGCACCGTCTATACTTTCATTCTTGTGATCTTTGTAATCCACCCCCCTGCCCCCACTCTCTGCATGCTAGATGATGAAAAAGGGAACTCTGAAGAGATAGAGGGAGAGAGAGACATGCCTCATTCTGATTCTTCACCTCATTTTTCCTCTTAGAAAGTCCCCTACTCAACATCCAAGGTCTTACTGAAATGCCACTACTATAGAAACTTCTCCGATCTTGTCTCTAAATTACAATGAACCACTGATTTCTGTTATCCTAATATTTTATATGTATCTCAATGCAGATACTATACCAAAACCGATTACCCTGCTCTCTGCCTTGAAGGTGGTAATGAGGGCTGACCACTAAGTACTGCATCGGCTCCATTCTCTGATTGCTCATTGGGTTCTGCAGTGGGAGGTACCAGCAGAGACCGGAAGGCAGGGGGAGAGAGAGCTTGGGATGCTTATATTCCCTCAGCTATCTCCTGTAAGCAGTCATGGGTTCTACCTGCTGGCACCTTCCTATGGATATAGCTCTTACCAAATTCAGATGCTCCCTCACTTGCCCCTTCGGCCTAGATGGTAAGGGGAGAGGGCTGTGACACCGTTTTTCACTGGTTTCCTTAACCCTTTGCCTGCACCTGTGTAACTAATTTCTTTATTAAATTCTCTTCGATTATTCATTTTGAGTATATCATCTATATACTGCCAGGATTTTCATGATACACCAGGCAACTATATTAATCTATGTTTTATTTTTCCATCTCCTTACTTCCCCCCTCATTCCAAAGAGAAGGGATCTATGTCTAATTCATCTTTATAATCTTAACACATGCCAGTCATATCAAAGGCCTTCTATACACGTTGGTTGAATTAAATTAAATAATGCTGTGTTGGGCAAAAGGGGAACCTGACTCTGGCCCTAGCTTAGGGAACACAGGAAAGAACGCAGTGTATTTTTCTAAAGATGGATGTGTAGGAAGAGTGGAGGAGAAAGGCATGGGATGCCCAGCAGAAAAGGAAACGAATAGTGATTTTTGGGTTTTAAGGTGCCAGGCATTCTACAGACTTTATCTCATTTAATCTTCATAATACCATGAAATAGTTATGGCTGTGCCCACTGTACAGATGCTACTGACTGAGGTTACACAACTAATAAAATTGCAGAGCCCAGGATTTTTGACCCGGGATTTGTCTGGCAGCAACGTCTGTCCCAAACGGCGACAGGATCCCGAGGCAGTTTGCAAGCTCGAGGCCTCAATCTTTGGCAGAAGCGGTTTTCAGAGAAAAGAAAGTGAAAGAAGCTCGAGGCACAAGCCTGTTGGGTGGGACGCCCCGGCAGTCCCGGCGAGCTGAGGAGGGCTGGGCCCGGCTCTTTCCCGCCGCTGCTCTGATTCCCGGGGCTCCGAAGAACTTGCGCAGGGAGTTGCACGTGTACTTCCAGAGCCCGACGAGATCAGCAGGCGGGGAGCGTGTGGTCGGCTGGGCACCCGGGGCGCGTCAGGCCTCCCGGCGCTCTTCCTCCGGGAGGATGGTGAGGGGCGCGGGGGACGGACATGGGGAGGGGGCAGCAGTGCTGAGCCCGGGGCCCGCGAGACCTGGCAGCCCGGGAGGGCGCAGAGACCCCACGCTACGCAGAACCCTCTCTTCCAGGGGGCGCCGACCACCCCTGACTTCCTGGTCCCGGAAGAGAGGGGAGCTTGCTGCATTTTTTTCCTTAGCATTTCTGGTCTTTTTTTTCCTCCCCTTAAAATGTAAAACTTCTTTATAGAGTTTGAAAGGATGTGAATCCTTTATTTGTGGTATGCGTTGTGAGTATTTCTTCCCAATTTATTTTTTGTCTTTTGAGTTTGCTTATGGTGGCTTTTTTTTTTTTTGGCCATGCAAATATTTTAATTTTTGTGTAGCAAAACTTACCAGTGTTTTATGATGTGTAGACTTATAGTCATATTTTACTATGTGACTTTTAGTCATACTCTCCCCTACACCCAAGTTACAGAAGAATTCACTTACGCTCACTTCTAGTACTTGAACTGATTTATTTTTTACGTTTAGATCTATAATACATTTGGAGTGTGTTCTTGTGTGTGGTTTGAGGAGTAGCTCTATTTTTTTTCAAATGCATGTCAAGCTGCCCCAACACTATTTATTATAAAGGTTATCACTGCCCCAGTAACTTGAGATACCAGCTTTATCATGTGCTAGACTTTCATATGTAGTTTGGGTATTTCTAGACCTTCCATTTTCCTCCGTTGACCTGTTTATTCATCTACTTTAGAGGGGCTTTGCTGTATGTTTTAATGTCAGGACTAGTCCTAGAGAGTGCTTCCTTTTCCTAGCTAGTCTTGTTATTTTTCCTTATGAACTTTTCCGATGTATGATCAGTGTTTAAAAAAGAAAAGAAATGAAAAGTTCTTTGGAAATTTTGCTGGGATTGCATTAAATCAATAAATTAAATTACAGAGAGCTGATACCTTTAGGTGGTGTTGACATGGTCTAACCCGATGGGATGTGAAAGATTGAAAATTTGAGCATGTAGTATATATGCTATTAAATTGTGTGAATTGGTGTGATGTATGTAACAGCTTATCAACAGTTGTAGATACTGGTACTTCATATCCTCTTAAGGAAAATTTGTCTCCAAATTTTAAGTTGGAAAGTCACTAGAATAACTTTTAAAGAGAATTACAATACGTGACTTTTTAGATTTTTTTGTATGTATGTTAAGAATTGTGTACAAATCAAAATATCTGTATACTGATCCTCTCAACACAACCACAGAAATCTCAATTATGAAAGAATGTTTTGAAGCACATAGAAAACAAAACAAAGGATGCCTTTTCTTTTTTTTTTAAATTTTTTATTGGATTTTAGGTTTTGGGGTACATGAGCAGAGCATGCAAGACAGTTGCGTAGGCACACACATGGCAGTGTGCTTTGCTTTTCTTCTCCCCTTCACCCACATTTGGCATTTCTCCCCAGGCTATCCCTCCCTACCTCCCCCTCCCACTGGCCCTCCCCTTTTCCCCCCAATAGACCCCAGTGTTTAGTACTCCCCTTTCTGTGTCCATGTGTTCTCATTTTTCATCACCCACCTATGAGTGAGAATATGCAGTGTTTCATTTTCTGTTCTTGTGTCAGTTTGCTGAGGATGATGTTCTCCAGATTCATCCATGTCCCTACAAACGACACAAACTCATCATTTCTGATTGCTGCATAATAAACCATGGTGTATATGTGCAAAGACCTGGAATCAACCCAAGGATGCCTTTTCATTGTCTACTTTTGTGTCTTTAAAGAGGGTTTATAGTTATCTTCACATAAAATATTTCTTGTTCAATTTTTCTTTTTTCTCAATATTATATGTGAGATTTTCTCATTCACTATATCATTTAATTATTTGCATGTATGTATGCTTTGATGTTTTCTCTCCTTTTAAAAATTAAGGCGTAATTTACAGACAGCTTTTCTATATTTGGAAAATTCATACTTTTTAGTGTATAGTTCTGTGAGTTTTGACAAATGTTTACCGCTGCTATGAATATATAAAATAGTTTTCTACCAATTTCTTTGTCTTCAACCTCTTTACTCAAGATGAACTCCTGGCAACCACTATGGATCAGATTTTGGTCCCTGTAGTTCCAAAATGTCATATAAATGAAATCATCCAGCACGGAGTTTTTGGAGCCTTAGGTATCACCAGTTTGCTATTGCTTTTATTAATAGTTAAATTCCACTCTGGTCAGAAAACATATTTTCTATTATTTGAATTCTTGAAAATTTATGTATTGAGGGCTGGTCACAGTGGCTCATGCCTGTAATCCCAGCACTTTGGAAGGCCAAGGCAGGGGGATCACTTGAGGTCAGGAGTTCAAGATCAGCCTAGCCAATGAAACCCAGTCTCTATGAAAAATAAAAAAATTAGTCAGGCATGGTGGCACATGCCTGTAGTCCCAGCTACCTGGGAGGCTGAGGCAAGAGAGACCCTTGAACCTGGGAGGCAGAGGTAGATCTCAGTGAGCCGAGATCGCGTCACTACACTCCACTGGGGGCAACAGAGCGAGACTGTCTCATGGACAGAATATGATCTATCTTGGTAAATTCCCAAGCATACTTGAAAACAAAGTACATTCCTTCATTGGGTAGAGTGTTCTATAAACGTATAAATGTCAATTAGGTGAAGTTGGTTGACAGTGTTGTCCCAGTTCTCATGTCCTTATTGATTTTATGTCTACTTGTTCTATCAATTATTGAGAGAGGATGCTGAAATCTCCAGCTATAATTGTGGATTTATTTTCTCCTTGGAGTTCTGTCAATTTACTTCATATATTTTGAAGCTCTGTTATTAGGAAAAAGTGTTTAGAATTGTTTCCTCTTGATTCATTGATTCATTTGTCATTATGAAATGACATTTTTAACCTCGATAATATTTACATTGAAATATACCAAGTTTCGTTTTCTTTTAATTTTTAAAAATAATGATACAATACATATAACATCAGATTTGCCATCTTAACAATTTCTAAGTATACAGTTCAGAAGTGTTAAGTGTACTTACATTGTCGCACAGAAAATCTTCAGATATTTTTCATCTTGCAAAACAAACAGTATATACTTGTCTTTTTGTGACTGACATTTTACTTAGCATAATGTCTTCAGGATTCATCCATGTTATAGCATGTGTCATAATTTCCTTCCTTTTTAAGGTTGAATAATATTTTATTATGTATATATAAATGTATTTTGTTTATACACTCACCTATTGATGGATTTGGGTTACTTCTACGTTTTGGCTATTGTGAATAATAATGAACTTGAGTGTACAAATATAGTCATACTCTGCATAATTGTTTCAGTCAGTGACCTACCATGTAAACAATGGTGGTCCTGCAAGATTATAATACTGTGTTTTTACTGTACCTTTTCTATATTTAGATATGTTTAATACACAAACACTTACCATTGTGCTACAATTGCCTATAGTATTCAGTAAGGTAACATGCTGTATAGATTTGTAGCTAGGAGCAATAGACTATACCATTTAGCCTAGGTGTGTAGTAGGCTATACTATCTAGCTTTGTGTAAGTACACTCTATGATAGTCACACAATGACAAAATTGCCTAATAATGTCTCCCCACCATTAAGTGACAGATTACTGTATCTCTTCAAGATCCTGTTTTCAATTCTTTTGTATTTATATCCAGAACTGGGATTGCTGGATCATATGGTAATCCTATTTTTAATTTTTTTAGGACTGCCATGCTGTTTTCCATAGCAACCAAATCATTTTTACATTCCCACCAACTGTACAGAAGATGGGGTTTCTCCATGTTTGTAGGGCTGGTCTTGAACTCCCAACCTTAGGTGATCCACCTGCCTTGGCCTCCCAAAGTGTTGGGATTACAGGCATGAGCCACTGCGCCGGCCCCTTAACTTTTTCTTTTACAGCACCCATCCTAATGTGTGAGGTGATATTTCATTGTGGTTTTGATTTTTATTTCCCTAATGATTAGCGATGTTGAGCATCTTTTTATATGCTTGTTGTCCATTTGTATATCTTCTTTGGAGAAATGTCTATTCAAATCCTTGGACCATTTATAAGTGAGGTTTTTTGTTGAAGCTGAGTTGTAGGAGTTCTTTGTATGTTATGAATATTAACCTCTTCACAAATATATGATTTGCAAATATTTTTTCCTGTTCTGTAGGTCACCTTTTTATTTTGTTGTTTCCTTTGCTATGCAGTTTTTTGTTTCACGTAGTCTCATTTGTCTATTCTTACTTTTATTGCCTGTATTTTTGGTGTCATATCCAAGAAATCATTGCCATTCAATGCCATGAAGCTTTTCTTTTTTGTTCCATTGTCCTATATGTCTTCTTTATGCCAGTACTGTACTCTTTTGATTACTGTAGCTTTGTAATATGTTTTGAAGTCAGGAAGTGATATAAGCACAAAATGACTTTACTAAATGTTATTTAGATATTTCACTGTCTTTCATTTTCACTGTCCTTCCTTGTCCTCTGACATAAGAGTACTATAATGAAACTATTTTTACTAGTAAAATGTACTTAAAATAGGCTAGAGAATTAAATTAAGAAAAATATGAGAGAGAAAAGGCAAAAGAGTTCACTTAGATATAAACCAGACCACTAAGTGATGATTTATCTTCTGCTTGCCTGCAAACTTACTGTTGACCCATTCCATCTTAGGGCAGTTCAAATTATTTAAAAACATAGCTTTACGTTAAGCCCAAATGTGTTTTACTGTAGCTCTACATACCAATATAGAGTTGTAGAAATCAGTCTTTCATAAGATAATCCTTCAAATGTTTAAAGACAACTGCCCTTGCATTCCACCCACTCATTAACTCTACTCCTTCAAGTTAAAGATTCTCATTCCCGAGGCCTGGTGCGATGGCTCACACCTGTAATCCCAGCACTTTGGGAGGCTGTGGGGGCAGATCACCTGGAGTCAGGAGTTCGAGACCAGACTGACCAACATGGAGAAAACCTGTCTCTACTAAAAATACAAAAAT